GGTGCTGCTGTGCCACGGAACAGTCACGATGAGCTATTAGGACAACTGGTTCAGTCTTTGATGGAGAGCGCGGAGCACCCGCCGACGGAAGTGGAGGGCGTGAGTGACGAGTTCATTGAGCAGTTGGAGCGGGTGCCGAAGAAGAGCTTGAAGGAGGATATGAGTTGTCCTATCTGTTCGAGACCGTTTCTTGAGGGTATGTTATATCGTCGTCCACCAAATCCACAGACAACCTAACACTATGGCAGACTCCCATCCACTGGTCGTGCAGTTGCCGTGCCACAAAGACCATATCTTCGATCTCGAGTGCATACATCCGTGGCTGAAGCTGAACCCAACGTGTCCGCTGGACCGACAGCAGATGATCAAGAAGAAACCGCCACCACCGCCGAAGGATGAGGAGGATGGCGAGTACGATGATATGTTTGCATGAGCTTTGTTGGCATTGTGACGAAGCGGAACGTGGAATTAGCGATGGCGTTCTAGATGTTTTGCTTTTGGGAAAGGTAGCATGCACAGCGAATACAGCCTCGTGTCAGCAGTCATCAATACACCTGGATGCGATCATGCCACGAGCGCTCCCGCCCGCAGCCTTTGCGACCCTGGCTTGTCAGCTTTTGCCGCATTTGGACCTGCTCGAAGATTATGTGAACAGGACGTCAGGGTACGGAGTGCCGAACTGAATCCGCACAGTGTTCGTAGGGGTGTTAAGAGGCTCAAAGGGGGGAATGAGGTACGAAGACCAAGCAGCTCTCCAAAGCCAGTGGGGAGAAAGGAACCTTACAGCAAGCTTGATAGTAGGCGATCATCTCGCGGAGAAGGAAATTGGACTTGATTGCGAAATCTTTCGGTACACAGTCTCTGCTATCCGATCAACCCCAATGCGTACCGGAAACAACGTTGTTCGGAAGAGCAAAGCTGGCATGGCAATCTCTGAGCAGCAGCAACGACTGACTCTCGGTGTAATTGCGGTGCCTCTAGAACGCAAAAGCATCGAGAACTCATACAGCTTGTGGTCATCTCTAGAACCAAGTTACCACGGATCTGAAGTTGTGTGGCGGCTGAAAGGAAGGAGGTGAGGTCAAAAAATAGTTGCTTTGAGCGGCGGAAGTGGCATGTGATTGGGCACATTCAACTCGACCCTGCCAAGAAGTGAAAGCTGTCTTTTTTGAGAGAAAGCATTAAGTGGCCTTTACCACACCTTTTATTCGGAGACACCTCGTGTTGTGTTCTTCGTCTAACACATCTCTCCTTCATTCTCTCAACAGGCCTTGACGGTCTTCTGGCGCACTTGGACCGCCTCGAGTCGACAGCGAGGACACGACCGATAACAGCCAGAACTACAACGATGGCGAGATTTTCACGAAGTAGGAGCCAGCCGGCCCCCAGGACCATCTCCCCATGGATGACGGCCTTCTACATCTGCGCCATCCTGGTGGCGCCTATGCTTTTCATGGGAATGATTCCTTCAGCTCACGCGGCGGAAAATGTACAAGAGCCGATCAAGGACAACCAGGTGTCAGGACCAGGTGCGTATACATATCCTCCTCATTCTACTTTTGGGCCCGAGGACTGTCATGAGCGTGTGGGGACGTCGGATCAACCCCCTGATATGCCCCTTTGTGGGAACACGTTCGACGACCTCCATCTTGTCCAAGGCCCTGGTGGGTCTCGGGCGTCTGCACAAACTAGTAGGAATTCTTCGAAGAGCAAAGCTAACAGTGGTATCTGCAGTCATCGGTATCGATCTCGGAACGACCTACTCCTGTGTTGGTATTATGAGAGGAGGCAAAGTGGAAATTCTTGTCAACGACCAGGGTAACCGAATAACACCATCCTGGGTTGCATGGAACGATGAAGAGCGGTTGGTCGGAGACGCAGCAAAGAATCAATACGCATCGAACCCACACCGGACAATCTTCGATATCAAGAGAGTGATTGGGCGGAAGTTCAACGACAAGGATGTTCAGAGGGATATCAAGCACTTCCCGTTCAAGGTTGTGAACAAGAACGATCAGCCACGTGTGCGGGTTGAGGTGTCTGGGTAAGTCGGTGCATAGGATGATCGCTAGAGGCGTGAGGCTGATGTTCACCGCAGCGAGGACAAGACATTCACCCCCGAGGAAGTGTCTTCTATGATCTTGGGCAAGATGAGAGAAATCGCCGAGTCATATCTGGGCGAGAAGGTTGTCAACGCAGTCGTTACTGTACCAGCCTATTTCAACGACGCTCAACGTGCCGCTACCAAGGATGCGGGCACGATCGCCGGTCTCAACGTGATGCGCGTGGTCAACGAGCCAACCGCAGCCGCCCTCGCCTACGGCCTTGACAAGACGGACAAGGAGCGCCAGATCGTGGTCTACGATCTCGGTGGTGGTACTTTCGATGTTTCGGTCTTGACTGTCGACCAGGGTGTTTTCGAGGTTCTTTCCACCGCCGGTGACACCCACTTGGGTGGTGAGGACTTTGACGCTCGTGTGATGGACTACTTTGTCAAGTCTTACAACAAGAAGCACGACACCGACATCACCAAGAACGCGAAGACGATGGGTAAGCTGAAGCGCGAGGTCGAGAAGGCCAAGCGAACGCTTTCCAGCCAGATGAGCACCAAGATCGAAATCGAGGCTTTCCACGAGGGCAACGACTTCTCCGAGAGCTTGACCCGGGCCAAGTTTGAGGAGCTGAACAACGATCTGTTCAAGAAGACCCTCAAGCCGGTTGAGCAGGTGCTCAAGGATGCCAAGCTTAAGAAGGTTGATATTGACGACATCGTTCTTGTTGGTGGTTCTACTCGTATTCCGAAGGTGCAGAGCATGCTTGAGGAGTACTTTGGCAAGAAGGCTAGCAAGGGTATCAACCCGGATGAGGCTGTCGCTTACGGCGCAGCTGTGCAGGGTGGCGTTCTGTCCGGAGAGGAGGAGGTGAGTAGCGTTCTTGAGAGCGTCGCACGAACTGCAGCTAACATCTTCCCAGGCCAAGGACGTCGTCCTGATGGACGTCAACCCTCTTACTCTTGGAATCGAGACTACCGGCGGTGTCATGACCCATCTTATCAAGCGTGGCACGACCATTCCTACCAAGAAGTCCCAGATCTTTTCGACCGCGGCCGACAACCAGCCCGTGGTTTTGATTCAAGTCTTCGAAGGCGAACGCTCAATGACGAAAGACAACAATCTTCTCGGCAAATTCGAGCTCTCCGGCATTCCACCAGCGCCTCGCGGTCAACCTCAAATCGAAGTGACATTCGAGCTCGACGCCAATGGCGTGCTAAAGGTCAGCGCCGGCGACAAGGGCACCGGCAAGAGCGACGGCATTACCATCACAAACGACAAGGGCCGCCTCAGCGCCGAAGAAATCGAGCGCATGGTCGAGGAAGCTGAGAAATACGCCGACGAGGACAAGGCCACCCGCGAGCGCATCGAAGCCCGCAACAAGCTTGAAAACTACTCGTACAGCCTCAAGAACCAGCTCAGCGATGACGACGGCCTCGGCGGCAAGATCGATGAGGACGACAAGGAGACGCTCCAGGAGGCTGTCAAGGAGGCGCAGGACTGGCTGGAGGAGAATGGACAGACCGCCACCGCGGAGGACTTTGAAGAGCAGAGCCAGAAGCTGAGCGATGTCGCGTACCCGATCACGAGCAAATTGAACGCTGGTGGTGCGGGCGGCATGCCGGATTATGGTGATGATGAGCCGGACACGCATGATGAGCTTTAGAGCGATGGCTGGCTTTGAGTATTGTGGATATATGCGAATGAAATCATCGGTGGCGTTTTCTATGGCTGCTAGACAGGTATCTGATACAATTGAAGACATGTCATCTTGGTCGACTCTCGAGATTCGAAGGATTTCTTTGCCAGACGTCTGTCTGGAGTCCGTGTCAAGACTTGCTGCACCATTGGAGGTCTTGCATTGCGATACATCATGAAAGCACGACGACATCTCCCAGGCTCCGGTCCCGACGTTTGCCGCTGTTCGGCTTCAGACTGAGAGTTGTCTGTCGAAAGATCCCACGGAGTCTTGCCGATCGTTTCTTTCGCCAGTTCTCCGTTCCTGGAAGGTAGAGGCGTGGAGTTCCGTGGAGGAGAGCCCGGGGACGAGACCATCTCGTTCTCCTTATCAGAATGTGGAGTCAAAGGCGGCGGAATTTCATTTCACACGTGGGAATCCTTCGCTCCACGAGATGGGTCATCTACAACGGTTCATTCCGAGGAGCGACACGTCCGACTTCGCTCGATGTCAAGACTCAAGACTCAAGTTCAACTCGAAGGAGCACTACTCTTATCTGTGGCGATACTGCCAGCCCAAACCCGATCAGAAGGAACGCTAGAACGCCGCACTTCCTTGAGTTTCCACGTGGCTATCTGTCGATCGACAATCATCATGCAGTAGTCCGTGATCGCCCTCGCTGTTTGCCACAGCGGTTATATGACTGCTTCTACCGGCAACGCCGAGTAGCGGCAGGAAACATGAGCGGACTTCCAAGCCGCGGAACAATATTGATGAGGCCGCTGGGTCTTGGATCTTGCAGGAGCTCGACGATGGCTTGGATGGCACAATGAGTGCCTGAACTGAAGGGCATTCGGCTGAATGAAGACGGGGTGAGAAGACGCTCCGTCTTCAATGAGATGGTTGAAATGCGTCTCTCGCGATGAAGATGAGTCACGATGAGCAACGTCTTGTTCCAGATGTGCGTATATATTTGCTATGGATCAAAAAGCATCCAAAACATGTCCATGTGTTCTATGACACAACTTATATCGATGCAAGGCCGGTCTGTCTTGCAGAGCCAGCAGTGCCTCAGTGGTAGTCCATGTCCTCGGCGATGATAGCCTCTCTTTCCTTGTTGAACTTGCGTGCAGACACTCCACGCTCGTATAGCAGGTCGAGTTCGGCGAACGTGGCATTCTTCGATTCGGGCAAACGGAAGAATGCCCAGGTCAGACAGATGGCGGTGCTTCCAGCCCAGAAGAAGCCGGATTTGGCACTAAAGACGTATACTGTTAGCAAATGTGAAGCATACATGCAAATAGCCCAGTAGGGAACTTACCTCCAGTTCCATGCGGTCTCATTAAGCATATATGGAGTAATGACACCGGTCCAGATACACGTGATGTTGTATGCATTACGGGCCAGGACAGTCGTCTTGTGTCGGAGACGGGAGGACGGCGCTTCCGGGACGATGACATATGTGAGAGGTCCGATGGTGCTGTCATAGATGAAGGTGTAGACCAGCAACATTGCACCAATGGCCCATTGAAGGCTGGTGTTGTTCGACGTATCGCCCAGAGATAGAAAGCCGACTATCATTAGAGTGACAAAAGCACAGCTTAGGCCTGTGAGGAAGATGGGTCGCCGACCGAACTGCTTGATCATCGGCCACGAGAGCAGTGTCCCAACAAAAGCAATCGCGTAGAGGCCAAGTCCCATGTCGAAGGACTCCTCCGAGGTCATGCCAGCTTGTTGGAAGAAGACGATGGCGTAGGTTTGCAAGACGGGACCACACATCTGCTGCGTGACCCAGGTGCCGACGGCGACCTCTGTACGACGGAGGTTGGTGCCCTTGAAGCACTCGAGATATCCCGCGCCTGACGTCAAACGCCTTTCGATGGCATCGGTCTGCGAGAGCATGGCAACCGTCTCGTGGGGAGTGGGAAGATCCACACCGGTGTTGGGAGACTGGAGGCGACCGACGGCTTTGACAGCGTCTTCTGTGCGGTCGTGCGAGACGAGCCAAGTTGGCGATTCGGGACACAGGAGGCAGACCTAGAGTGGGCGTTAGTCCCAAACATCTCACTTCTTCATGATTGGGGCACTTACTGCGATGATTGGCAGTGGCCAGACCCACTGGATTGCGAACGCTGTAGTTGTGGCATTGTCGTAAGCAGAAGGCCTGTCAAAGTGGTGAAATCTGCCAACTCACGTATTTTCCAACCCCATTCATCGGTCCGGTTCTGGACGCCAACCAGAACTCCAGAAGCGATGAACTGGCCGATGACCTAGATGGATAGTGAGCCAATGACCACAGTCTGACTTCTGGTAAAATGTATTACCCAGCCTGCATCAATATCAGCATAACTCTCCTGAAGCCGGATCAACAGCGGACAACGTACATAGGTTGACGTAGCTTGTCAGGTACCCACGAAGGTTGAGAGGCAGTACTTCAGCGGCATAGACAGTGGTGACTGTCTGATACACGCCCCACGGCTGCGAAGATCGTTCAGTTAGCTGATGTCTCGAACGAGGTTTTCCTGCCGCAATTGGCGGCATCTCCTTCACTTACGATACCACACAAAATCTGACCGACCAGTTGCAGTGGCAGAGTCTCTCCAAAGAACGAGATAAAGATCTGTCGAACGTCAGTGAACAGCTACGACCGAGCGGTGAACACTGGTCCGTACAAATGCAATCATCAACACCGTTGCGCCCGCCATGACTTTCTTGTTGCCGTACCATTCCACGAAGTAACCGGTCAATTGAAGGCCCAAGATCTCTCCCTACAAGATCAAAGACATCAGCAATCGTCCCTCGCTGTAGAGTCCGAGATCTTGCTTACGATGTAAGCGCCATTGCCAACGGCACTTTGCCACGGTGCAGTGATGGACGGTTCTCCGTTGACGACCTGATTCCCGAAGGTGTTGTTGAACGATGGAAATCCAAAATAAGAGCCAATCTGATCTCGTCCATTAGCAGACAGTTTTCGGACGCGAGAATGACAGATGCACTCACAAGTATAGTGTCGTAGCCTTCCATCACGACGGCGGACGAGAGAAGGATACTCCATCCGATAGCCTTTGGGTAAGCCTTGAGGGCTTGCGTGAGCGTTAAGCCATGCTCCTTGGCTGTAGCGACTTGGGCTTCAGCTGCTTCGACCTTGTTGTTGTTCGTGTGTTCGACTTTACGGTCATTGTCGTCGTGCGTCCGGGATGGCTCCATTGCCGCAGCGGCCGAGTCGTTTGTCTTCTCCATGGCGTCGTTCAGAGGAGGATGCTATGAATGCAGTAGGGAAGGAATGCTGATGACGGTGATGACAAGAATATATACGGCCTACTTCTCCAAGGGACCTTACTGCAACCGGAAGACACCGAAACTTGCCACCACCTGCGTAGGTATCTTGACAATCTCGGCCAGCTATCAAACAGCTCGAGAACGGGTGGAACGGCATTTGACGACCGAGAGTCAAGATAACCGATCATCCAATGGAGATCTCCATGTTTCGACAAACTAAAATCCACGTGGACCGTCTGGCCCGCATTCTGACTCGTGAGATGGAGCGACCGAGCAAGTCTACCATGGATGAAAATTTGAGGAAGGCCTGGACGCAGAACGTACGTACCTTTCACCCATCAAACTGAATGCAAAGATGGCTCCTACTCCCTCGGTTCCCGCACATTACCAGGAGAGAGCTCATTATAAAGAATGCATAGTCTACCAAGTATATCCGGCATCGTTCTGCGACTCGAATGGCGACGGAATCGGCGACATTAGGGGCATGATTTCGAAGCTAGATTATTTGAAGGATCTGGGAGTTGTATGTGCTGGCCCGAGACCTGAAGACAACAAACGCTGATTGAGAGAACTACTCAGGACGCAATATGGCTATCTCCAATCTTCAAATCTCCTTTCGTGGACAATGGCTACGACATCTCGTCTTTCCAGGAGATTAACCCACAATTTGGCACGCTTGAAGATGTGGATGAGCTTATTTCCGAATGTCATAAGCGTGGCATGAAACTTGTCATGGACCTTGTCGTCAACCACACCTCTGACCAGCATGACTGGTTTCTCGAGTCTCGGAAGAGCAAAGACAACCCATTCCGAGACTGGTATTTCTGGCGACCACCCCGTTATGACAGCAACGGTGAGAGGCAGCCTCCCAACAACTGGCGCGAAGAGTTCTCGAACGGAAGCGCATGGCAATGGGACGAGACGACGGGGGAGTACTATCTCCACTTGTACGCAAAGGAACAGCCCGATCTGAATTGGGAGACGAAGGCTCTACGTCAGGCTGTGTACAAGGACATCATGAAATGGTGGCTAGACCGCGGTGCAGATGGTTTCCGCATGGACGTCATCAACCTGATCTCGAAAGTTCCGGGTCTCCCTAATGCCAGCATCCAGGACCCGAACGAGAAGTTCCAGTGGCCCTATGAGCATTGTGCGAATGGCCCTCGCATTCACGAGTTCCTGCAAGAGATGCATCGTGAGGTACTGTCGAAATACTCAAACTTCATAACTGTCGGGGAGACGCCCTTTACACATCATGATTTCGATGTCTTGGTGCCGTATGTGCTGCCGCAGAATAAGGAGCTACAAATGATCTTCCAGTTCGAGCAGCAAGAAGTGGACGGCTATCCTCCTATTGTGTACAAAGAGTACACTCTGCCTGAGTTTAAGGCCATTACTTCGAGATGGCAGGTTGGCATGCAAGAGCGTGGTGGGTGGAACAGCATATACCTTGAGGTAAGCATACCACGCAGCCAAGACAGTCATGAAGTCGCAGTCAACCCAATTCTCTGCTGCTGTGCTAATATCCACCCCTTGCTGCAGAACCATGATGTCGCCCGTTCTGTGTCACGCTTCGGCGACACATCAACCGCAGAACTCCGAACGCTATCCGCCAAATGCCTCGCCGCACTGCAGTGCACGCTCTCAGGAACACTTTTCGTATACCAAGGCGAAGAAATCGGACAGGCCAACCTGCCACCCTCCTGGGGCATCGAGGAATATGAGGACATTGCTTCGCAGGCATACTACCACGAGGAGCTCGAAGCGCGCCGGCAGAAGCAGAACACTCAAGACCCAGACATGTCCGACATCTGGAACAACGTGCAGAGGAAAGCTCGAGACCATGCCAGAAGTCCGATGCAGTGGGATGGTTCTAAACAGGCCGGATTCTCGAGCGCAGACAAGACGTGGATGAGAGTCAACGAGGACTTTACCGAATGGAATGTCGCGAAGCAGCTCAAAGAGGATGGAAGCGTACATCAGTTCTGGAAGAAGATGATACAGTTCAGGAAGGCCCATCTTGCCTGTGTGAGTTCTTCTCTTCTCTCTTCCGCCCGCTGCAGCTGACCATCAATCCAGACGTACGGTATCTACACGCTGTTGTCGCCCGATGACGAGCGTGTCTACGCCTATACGAAGGAGTACCAATCCGAGAAGGTGATTGTGCTCATGAACTTCTCTCAAGAGACTATTACATACACCCGAGTGCCAGAGTTCGGCAAGATAAACGACTGGATCAGCAACTATCCTCCTGCTGAAAGCCGAGATCCGATTGTAGAAGGCGGGGAGGTGCGCCTGAAACCGTGGCAGGCGGTTGTTCTGTCGACGTCCTAGTGGGGCCGAAGTCCAAGCAGGCGTTCGATTCAGCTTTGAAGTGCTGCCATTGCAGCGACTGACGATTGCACCTGCTCGAAATTTGCTGCTCCAACAGGAGAAGCCGCGGGACGACTAGGTCATACAGCGAACCGCTCAGGCAAGCCAAAGGGGCTGCTCGGGCTGGTCAGTCCCAAGCACATCTGCGTCTCTTCGAAGCAGCTCGCCGTCTCCGAGCAGTTGTGCGGATGAGTGCTTCGCCGTTCTGAACACCCATTAGATCCCGCTGACATAGACCAATCAAAAAACCACACTTACAGTCACATTCCGTCTTTCTCCCGTGACGGGACTCTTTTCGCACTTCACTTTTGTGCCGCAAGTGAATGTTCACTGCCAAGCCAAGCATCCGCTAGTGTTTGCCAATGTCATCCAATGGGAAGCTACGCAAGATTAACATTCACTTTCCGAGGCTTGGTGGCACCTCTTCAGACGTCGTTCTACCACTGCTCTAGCCTTATGGGCTCCTGGCGGTTCACACTCAGTCCATTCCGTACACTCTTGGACGAACGCCGCTTGCAACTCGTTACCATGAGGATCTCGCCGTTGATGAGACCCCACGGTCCTGCCGGCAGACAAGCCAAACGCAGGACCTGATCGACGCAAGGATCAGACGTGGGAGCCTTGTCGAGTGAGCGGTGATTCGGATGCCGGCAATTTGTGAACGCTGCTCGCAATGTGGAATGCCACACAAAAATGTACGCGTGCTTCTCGCAGTCTCTCGCAGCCCTGGGGGACCTGGCCCTCAAATCTCAATCCATCTACAGGGGCAGCTCCACCAGCATCTCCCGAGCTTGCGCGAAGGCTCTTAACCTAACGCACGCGTTCCTCCGTCCCACAGTCTACTCGCCAGCCACCCATGCTCAATCGTGCCTTAAGATCCCCAGACTATACCACTCCCGCCCCAGGCCGATGACGACCAGACCACCGCCTGGCAGCTGTTCGCCCCGAAGGTTTTCAGCCTTGCTGTAACCCGGCACTGAGCCGTACTCGAGTCTCAGTGGACCATGGCTATCAGCCTGTCAGCCCTTTCTTTGCCCAACCAAATTGCTTGGTGAGACACTGCCCTTGCTCAGCTATGCCCGCCTCTGGCCAGTTCCTAGATGTGATCGGGGGTTCCTTATGGCTCAATGCATTATCATCACATTTGCCTCGGAGGACTCCAAAGCACTATCGATGTGAGTCGTGGGAAAACGCGTGAATAGTACGGAGGACTGTCCAGCATAAATGCCAACCCTTGCTGAAGACCTGGTCTGGGGATGGCATTTTACCCAATCATTGATAGGTGCCTCGGCACCATGTTTCTTGTCGCCATCCTTCCAAAACCACAGCGCTCCTTCGTGTTCGCGGGTCGATGGATTCTAACTCCAACATTCTGGAGCGCCTCTCCAACTTCATCGGCTCTCTGCAAGCGAAGGACACCCGAGAAAGACCTACTGCCGCCGTAATGCTCACGAGAAACACCTCGGAACAATAACATGTCGACAAGTCCATCGCCCGAGATATTGTGGGCAATACTTGGGAGGGCCACCGTTCCGACGGCGGACCCTTCGCTACTCTACAGCTCACCTGGTGACATCCCAAACAAAGCAGATGATGAAGGTCCCAGGATGCTGGCCGTTCTCTGGACCTTGAGCACAGTTTCAACAGCGATTGTTGCCATACGACTATGGACTAAGCAAAAGAAGGCGCATCGGCTATATCTGGACGATATGTTGATGTGCCTAGCTCTGGTAAGCCATATTCGCGAGGATGCAGCGCGGTGCTGACCATTGACAGGTTTTGGGCTTGCTACATGCCACGCTGATGACCGTGTCCATCCAGCACGGCGAAGGACGGCACTTCCTGTATCTCAGCGAGCAGGAACAACACCAGGCCATCAAGTACGGCATGATTGGGATGGCTTGGGGCAACCTCAGTCCAATGGCTGGCCGGATCGCTTTCTGCGTCACCATGCTTTTCCTCACTCGCACGGATGGCCGAGTACCATCCTGGCCGATTCTCGTGTTCATTGCATGCCAGCTGGTGTTTGTAAGTCCACCCATATGCCAACCCTGCAGTTCTCGAGACACTCGTTGACCGGTTACCTCCCTACGGTAGAACATTGCTGCAGTTATCTTCTTCCTGTCGCAGTGCGGCTCGCACCTCTCGGCTCTCATCGAGTCCAACTACGATGAGTTGGCGTTGTACTGCCTTGACCCAAGATACCAGACAGACTTTGGGTATTTTGTTGGTGCCTTCAACTGCCTCACTGACGCTTTCTTGACCGTCTTGCCGGCGACATTGATCAGTCACACTCGCTTGTCCTTCAGGAAGAAGATCGGCCTGGCACTGTTGTTGTGCTTGAGCATCTTAGCGCTGGCTGCTGCTGTTGTGAAGACGTACGAGGCCAAGGCTTTAAGCGAAATATCGGATTACACATGTACGTACCACGACCAACGCTACTGCCAACCATACTGATGCATCCTCAGATGACCTTTGCGACTACGTAATCTGGGTCAGCATCGAATTAAACGTCGTAATTATCGTGGCCTCGATCCCCATCCTCCGTGTCTTGTTCCGACGACCTAGGCAACCAGACGAGATTACTGCGCGCATGAGATGGGACACCGTCACGACCGGCTCCGTCTTCTCGAAGAAAAAATACCGTCGTGGAAGCAAGACGCACTTCTCTATATCGAGCGAGGAGAACATGGTTCCGCAGCAGCAGCACGAGTTGCCCGCGCTTCCGGGAAATGGCATACATGTTACCAGAGATATCGAGGTGACGTATCAGCCGAGCGATGCGCCACATGTACATGCTGCGTTGGTTGGGCTGTTGCAGGGCGAGATTGCCAATCCGAAGCTTGTTCGGCGGTGATGAAGCTTCTTGGTCCGGATGCTGGCAATTGGACATTAGAAAGGTGGACGGGTGATGACAAGAAGGAGGGCAGCAAGGCCCGCTGGTCGGCATTGATCGAAACCACATGCCCGCCGCTTCGTTCGAGATCTCGTCCTTGTCACAACATCCTGCATATGGCAATGAACTCCTTCGAAAATGAAGAATCGTTATTCTGGGGTCTAGAGTTCGACGAACGGAAACAACATTTGCTCTGTACTAAGACCGGAGTTTGCCTCGACCAGGAGGCTATACGAGTCAGCAATATCGCCCAAGAGATACCCCCAGCAGGGACGAAAATGGATCGAGCAGAGTCGACTGCTTGTCGGCAAAGCGTCTGGACGGCTAAGAGCAACATATCACATCTCAACATGAGACTGTGGAGGAGACTTCCATCGTCTCATGGATTGGATAAGTGACGCGAGCGTCCGTCGACTGGTTCCGGATAGGTAGAGCGTTTGTGTCGAGAGACAAAATTGGCTGGCAATTCGAAGGCGAGCGGGCTGGTCGTGAGAAAAGGCGTTCTCTATACGCTGCTTGGTGGGATACATCATCTGCATCGAGAAACAGATCAGGCTGTCGGATATTCTCGTGAGCATAGAGTGTATTCCTGTGGGTGCGATCGTCTGCGACCAGGCTTCACGGAAGGTGGAGACGATGAGAGCGGGGATGAATCGACGTCACCGAGAGTTTGAACAACAGCCCAAGCATTGATCAAGACTTCTTAGATCTTTCCAATGTTGTCTCAGTGGGCATGAAGCTCCATACCGAAGTACGGTTGAGATCCACAGCAGACACATGAACAGCTACACCCCTCGCCAGCGTCTGATTCGCCATGAGACCATCGACCAGCGTTTTGGTGCACCTGCTTGGGTTACTCTGCATATCCCAATGCAGGCGAAGCAATGCCGAATCAACCATTGTTTACCATAAAGACCAAGAGGTCTCCTATCAAGGCGTATGCGACAATAGCATCGAGACCTTCCTAAGCATACCCTACGGACAAGATACAGGAGGCGAACACCGCTTCAAGCCACCTCGCCCATACGTACCTCAACCCGGGTCTGTCATCGACGCTCAAACCAACGGTCCAGCATGCCCACAACCGCATGGAGCGTTCTCTTTCCCTCTCTACCTGTCCAATATCACGGACATCTCCGAGGACTGCCTTCATCTCAACATCTACCGGCCGAAAGGTACATCGTGCAACGACAAGCTACCCGTAATGTTGTACATCCACGGCGGTAGCTTTTTCTTGGGCTCCAAGGATGAGATCTCCATCCAACCTGAAGGACTCATCCGAAGGTCGGTGGGGATGGGGCAGCCAGTGTTGGCGGTTTATATCAACTATCGTTTGGGAGGTGTGTCTTCTTGACAACGAATAGTGATATGATACTGACCTCAGGCAGTATTTGGCTTCGCTCAGTCAACCGCATTGAAGAGCGAAGGCTCGGAGAACGCTGGTCTGCGAGACCAAAGACTGGCCATTGAGTGGACGCGAGACAACATCGCCCACTTCGGAGGAGATCCAGATCAGATCACGATATTGGGGCAGTCGTCTGGAGGTAAGTGCACCCCTATCGTCATATCCAACCACATCCTGAAGTGCCGTAGGTCTCGCTGTCGGCATGCAAATCATGGCATACGGCGCAAGCAAGCCCGTCCCCTTCCAGCGGGCGTCGTGCGAAAGCCAGGCCCTTGAGCCAGGTATCACCGGCCACTTCACGCTTGACGCCATGGGAGACGTCGCCGACTACACGGGCTGCAATACGAGCTCCCTGCAAAGCGCGGAAACGGTTCGTTGCCTGCGCGGACTCGGCATGAAGCAGCTTCAGCATGCTCAAGAAACGACTCACAGGGATGGCCCTGGGGCGAACATAGGTGACCAGTGGCTACCTGTGGTCGATGGAGAAGGAGGATTCTTGCCCGATGCACCGTCTAAGCTCATTGCTGAAGGAAGGTTCGCTGATGTCTCGTCGGTTATGATCGGCTGGTGTGAAGACGATGGCAACTACTTCGTCGGCAAGCCAAAGACAGATGCAGACGTCTTCAAGTTCTTCACCCGCTACCTGCCAGCCATGACGCACAAGAACGTCCGTAGGCTGTTGGCGCTATACCCTGCCTCTGACTTCTCCCACAGTCCGTCCGGAGACCTGCCCGCTCAAACCTACCGCGCCGGCCGGATACTCCGCGACATCGTGTTCACCTGCCAACCAATCCACTATGGCCAGGCCATCGCCAAAGCAGGCGGGGACGTCTATCTCTGGGACCAGAACCAGACGATGTACGACGAGATTCTGACTTCGCTGGGGACGCCGGGCTACGGCGTAATCCATACTTCGAACTTCGCCTACCAGTTCGGCAACCTCTCGCACTACGATATCGATAACTTTCCGTACCACCCCAACGAGTCAGACTTCGCTTTGCGGGACCATCAGAGCAGCTCGTGGGCGTCTTTCGTGAAATTCGGGCATCCTTCTGATGCGAGATATCGGACGCTGAAAGGTTGGCAGCCGGGGGTCTCTCAGGAGGATGATGTCGATGTGTATGTGATTGGAGGTCCGCATGAAGGCCTGTTCGCAGAAGACGGGCCAGGGTCTGGACCTGTGTTCGCCGCACAGAAGTTGAAGGAGCGATGCGCGTTCATCAACTCTCCTGAGATTATACGGCAGCTGCAGTATTAATGGTAAAGGTGTGTGTCGAATGAATGCATGAATTAATAGCATCCTAAGAGCGATCACCCCTGCCCGAATCCCTCCAAACCCAAATTAAGCGCGTCGTCCAGCTTCTTCGACAGCATCTTGGTGCTGGAGTACCGTGGCAAATACAACGTCCCAAAGCATGTCGAGCTCGACGGCAGATCGTTGGGATTACCGTGCGACTGCCCATGGATCTGAAAAGCAAGATTACCCACTCCGGCAGCCGGTATCCGCTCCGCAGCTGTGACGAACTTGATAAGCTGCATCTGCTTCTCCTGCGACCACGCAGACACAATGCGCCAGAAAGACTGGATGTAGCTAGAGCTTGCTCTGTAAGGCTCACCATACTCAGTGGTGCGGCGGAGCTCGTCGATGTCGATGTGCATTGAGCCTTCCATGATTTCTTGAAAGTGTCGTGGTGTGATGAATTTCATCAGGTTCGGGTCGATGACTGAGAAGAAGCCGGCGTGGAAGGCTTTTAGTTGTGGACTGACGAAGCCGTGGGTGAGCATTGCGGTGTACGAATTCGCGTATTGAACGCTGTTCTCCTCGGTGATTTCTTTGGGTTGCTGGGTCGCTTCGATCTGAGGAGAATTGATGTCAGTGAATGCCGCATGACGGAAGATTCGTGATTTATGAACACTCCGGGAGATACAGTTGCCGGTACTCACCAGTTTCCAGCCAGGCCACGCATCAGATATGGATTTGAGATCCACTGGTTCGGCAGGTCCTTCTCTATGCGTTGCTGCCTGTATTCGCGTCGCTTCGACAATGTGTAGCTCCGCATCTCGGTCGTCGTCTGTTGCGTGCTTGGCTTCTGATATTGACAGGCGCAGACCGTTCGCCTCCAGGGGGAATACGAGTTCGAGGCCTGGTAATGGGTGTCGGTCAGCGAATGGTGCATACTCAAGCGGCAAAGACAGCGCTCAATGGGCTTCTAGCAGAAAATCTGTAGAGATTGACAGAAGCGTTATTGCGTACCTTGGCCGCCTTCATCTATGATGTTATCCAGCGATCTCGCAACAGTTGGCCACCCGTCGCGTATCCAATAGGTTCCAGCAACGTTGTTGTCCTGGAACAAGCGATAGAACACCAGCGGTAAGCTTACCGGCAGGGGTATGCCGTTATAGAAAGCCAACGCAAACAGTACACCACAAAGCTCAAAATGATAGAGCGGCTGTAGACTACCAGCACGGAAGTAGCTGTAGCCCGACTCCAAAGCAGTGAACATCTGCGGCTCCTCTTTGAACAACTCTCTGTAAACCAAGTTGAAGAATTCGATCTGAACACCTCCAAGGTCCTGGCCAATGGCATCATCGTCTGCTTCGCTCATGCGCACACGAAGCGGGAGCAGGAGCTCTGTTTTTCGACGTTGCCATAGTTGCATGAATGCATCTTCCAGTGCCGTGGCGCGGCTGACGCTGAGCAACAAATAGTGCTGTTCCTGATGCTGAAGTCGAGGGTCGAGGGTCACCTCGTATGCGTTCCCGTATGTGCGAAGGTCTCGATTGACATTCGCCATTCCTTGGGTTTTGCTCATGCGCATATGGTGGTAGGTGCGAAGCCAAAGCGCCTTGTCCGCGGCGGTGAACGGGTTTTCAAACTTCGGTAGAACGGCCATGTCGTTGCTTACCTTCTCCATCCGAGGGTCGCAGAGCGCTGAGATGGTTTGCGCCACTTTGATAGGATCCAGCTGAGCAACCAAGCTAGGCATCTTATGCAACTTATCGGCCGCTTTCATGTCATGGTTGTGCATCTGGGCATCATGCATCACTGTCAGAAGAAGTAGCGCAACATAGGCCACGCTGTCTTTGCTCCACAACAGCTCGCCGTTCCAGGTACGCATGAATGTCTCCTTGAGCCATAGTACAAAGACGCTTTTGGTCATCGTGTCCATGGGAGCCATCAGCTCCCGTAGAAAATCCGTGGTCGCAGCTGAAGAACGTATACAGGTTCCCAGAATCAGCAAAGTTCGATCCAATAGTTGCTGTGCAGGCCCGAAGTAGAATCGGTCCTAGAATGAACAGAGTAGTCAGCAAGTGTCTCGATCGAAATGGAATTAAGACTGCCTAAGAGCGCTGCATGTTTTCTAACTCTCAACAACGAGAAGAGTCCACATACCCCTATGCGCTGGCCACGGTTTTTGTCTGGCTCGTAGATAGCGAAGAAGCGCATGCCATTGCGAAGGATCTGAGAGAGGTCCAAGTCACCAACTAGACAGTCCTCCACATGTCCCAAAGATTTCAGCCTTTCGAACTCGGACAGTTTTTTACGCCACGTCCAGAGGTGGCTCAGAGAGTCATCGTCAAAGAACGGTTGTCTGGCCGCGAGCTGGTCAGAGGTGCCTTCTGCAGAACCATCTCTACTTCCAAGAGTACTGCGGACAGCCGCAGTATCGCTGAGTTGCTGCGTGAAGGAGGATGGGTCTCGAGGCGGCTCCGGCTTGACGCTGCCATCGTCATCATGTTTGGGCTGGTACCTTGAGCACAACCGCGATCTTGGTTTTGGTCCACTGACGAGGGTCAGAGCTACCGTACGAGCGGACCGCGCTGTGTACCCGCGGGTTGGTCGGTGAGATGTGTTCCTTCGGCCACTTGCGCATAGTGTCTCGTCACAGGTACGATCGCCGCAGCCCTTGAGGAGCTGTCCGACGTATCTAACTTAAGTTAGTGGACGCGCCTGAAGACCTGAGCAAGGTGACAGACCTCGATATGAGCTGTTGTACGGCATCCCGGCCAGATGAGTTCTCCGATACGTTGTCCATCTTGGCCCCTGGAGAAGGCGTTCACGGCATGTGCTCTGCTACATGTTCTCGGAGGAATAGACGTTCCGGGATGATGCCGCGGTCAGCAGGGACGGATAACGCTACGGTGAGCGCATCTTCGGGTTAAAGAATAATCACAATGGTCGCTCAGCCGGAGTTCACCTCTGCCATTTGCATCTTTGGTCGAAGAATGAAGTGACGTGAGCAGCGAGGGGATGTGTGGTCTTGACGTGTGGCGTTTGTTGCTACTTTAGGTTAGCGCGTGTTTGCGCCACACCATGTGAAATTTTGGGACTTCACATCTCGACTTCATGAAACTCGTCCTGATCGACGCTTAAGAGGATACCGCAACTACAACTTTGGAGGCGAATTTCTGGACCATCGGTGCTTAGCATAAGCGCGCATCGCGAAGATGGCGGCTACGTCAAACAAACGGCCTTTGCCTTCCAAGGTGGCATCCATGAAGGATCGAAAGCGGCGAAAACTGGATGGCAACGCTGGCTCAGCCAAGGACAGCAGCAAAACGATAAAGTCCAAGGTACCCGCCAACTTATTGTCATGGAAGAGCGTATCTATGCCGGACCACATGGACGATTACGAAGGCTTCTTTGGGTTGGAGGAAGTGGACGATGTGGATGTTGTACGGGATGAGGGGACGGGGCAGATTTCATTCAATGCGAAGCCGAAGCCTGAAGGTACGAAGGAGGCCAAACCGAGGAGTGATAGTAAGGATTCTGGACCGGAGGATTTCGAGGAGGATGATGCGGAGGCGGGTGGCGAGGTTGAGGAATGGTCTGGTTTTGGCGACGATGACGAGGTCCCGGAGAAGCCTACTGAGGCCAGGGAAGATGTCTCAAAAGCACCGCGGCAGCCTAGCAAATCTGAGAAGAAGCAAAAGCAGACGCCAAAGTCCAATGCTGCGTCGGGCGGCAACGCCACGAACGGTGCTTTCAAGGGCCTGGAGGATGGCGACGACGAATCCGATGAGGCCGATATCTCAGCATGGCGCTCGCTTGACCTGTCGCCGGATACCTTGTCTTCCTTGTCAAAGCTGAAGTTTGCCAAGCCCACGCCTATACAGAAAGCAGCCATCCCAGAGATTCTAGGCGGTCACGACGTCGTTGGCAAGGCATCTACGGGATCTGGAAAGACGCTCGCTTTTGGTATTCCGATCCTCGAGACCTACATTGAGCAACGTAGCAAACGCAAGACCGGGCAGAATTCGCCACTTGCGCTCATCCTTAGCCCAACCCGAGAACTGGCGCATCAACTAGACAAGCACCTGACAGCGCTCTGCTCGAATGGAACGTTTGAAGGGCCGTCAATCGCGACACTCACAGGAGGCTTGTCTGTGCAAAAGCAGCAACGTCTGCTCAAACATGCCGACATCGTGATCGGCACGCCAGGCCGGCTATGGGAAGTTATCAGCGAAGGCCAAGGTATTATTCGGGCAATCCAGGGCATACAATACCTGGTCGTGGACGAAGCAGATCGCCTCCTGAGCGAAGGCCACTTCAAAGAGGTGGAAGAGATCCTAAATGCACTCGACCGTACCGACATAAACGACGACGATGACACAGAACCCACTTCACCGCAACCGAACACCGCAGAGAAGCAACCCCGTCAAACCCTCGTCTTCTCCGCAACCTTCGACCGCAGCCTCCAACGCAAACTCGCCACCAAGTCCGCCCCCACCAACAACAACCTCCTCTCTAACAAAGATTCCCTCACCTACCTCCTCTCTAAACTCAACTTCCGCTCCCCACCCCCCAAATTCATCGACGTCAACCCCGTCAACCAACTCGCCTCCAACCTCAAAGAAGGCCTCATCGAATGCTCCGGGCTGGAAAAGGATCTCTACCTCTACACCCTGCTCCTCCTGCACCCGAACGCGCGGACCCTGGTCTTTACGAACTCCATCAGCGCCGTACGCCGCCTCACCCCTCTCCTCCAGAACTTGAACCTTCCAGTCCTGCCGCTGCATTCGGGTATGCCGCAGAAAGCCCGCTTACGCTCTGTCGAGCGCTTCACCGCCTCGAAAAGCGATAGCAACACGAACGCCAAAACGGCGAGTATCCTCGTAGCCACCGACGTAGCGGCCCGCGGCCTGGACATCCCCTCCGTGCAGCTAGTAATCCACTACCACCTCCCCCGCGCCGCGGACACCTACGTCCACCGCTCCGGCCGCACGGCGCGAGCCGGCCAGACTGGCTCAAGCATACTCATCTGCTCACCCGAAGAAGTCGCCGGTGTGCGTCGTCTCGTCGCCAAGGTCCACGCCACTTCCGCAGATGAAGGAAAAAGACAAGGCTACTTCATCCGCACCCTCGACCTCGACCGCCGCCTCGTCTCCCGCCTCAAACCCCGTGCTACTCTCGCCAAAAAAATCGCCGACGCCGGTATGGCGAAAGAGAAAGGAAAACGCGAAGACGACTTCCTCAAAGCAGCGGCGGAGGAACTAGGCGTTGAATACGAGAGTGAGGAAGACGGGAAAGGCCGGCGAGGACGTGGGGCGGGAAGGAAGAAGAAGGAGAAGGCGGGACGGGAAATGGGGAGGGAGGAGTTGGGGGCCATGAAGGCGGAGTTGAAAAGTTTGCTGGGGAAGAGGGTGAATGTGGGGGTTAGTGAGCGGTATTTGACGTCTGGGGGGGTGGATGTTGATGAGTTGCTGGCGCAGCAGAATAGTGGCGGCAGTGGTTTCCTTGGTGGGGTGCAGGATCTGGGGATGTAAGAAATCAATCGAAGGGGGTAGATGGCGGCTCGTGAAGCGTCTGGATCTAGATATCTCGAGGATAGCCAATCATTTAACGTCACCGTCCGTGCGCTTTCAGAAGTGCATCCACACTCCCCATCCCACCCTCGAACTCCGAAACATCATACTCATTCGGATACTGCTCGACCAGCCTCTTCACCCTTGCCAACTGCTCCACCTGCTCCTCCGTCATCTCCGCCCACACGTCCGTAATCAAGCCCGCCAACTCGGGCTTCTTCTCCTTCTCCGCCGCGCGATACGCTTTGAGCACTTCTTGTCGTAGATCGGAGCGCAGCGTCTTTTCCTTCTCCTCATCCCAAAGATCCCGAGACTCAAGGTACTTGCGCAGACGAGTTATAGGGTTATCCCTTCGTTTCCAGTCCTCGACTTCGACCCGCGCGCGGTAGGCGAAGCTGTCGTCGCTGGTGCTGTGGTGCGAGACGCGGTAGGACATTGCTTCGATCAGCACGGGCCGACCGCCCTCGGATAGAGCGAGGTCCCGGGCTTGCTGTGTGACGGCGCGCATGGCGAGGACGTCATTGCCGTCTACACGCACCGTGTCGATGCCATAGCCCACGCCACGGGAGGCGATGCCGTCGCCCCGGTATTGGTCCAAAGTGGGTGTGGAGATGGCGTAGCCGTTGTTACGACAGATGAACAAGACAGGACAGGACCGGGTAGCGGCGATGTTAAGCGCGGCGTGGAAGTCTCCTTCGCTCGCGGCGCCTTCGCCGAAGTAGCAGGCCACTACTCTCCCTGGCTCGGTGGGGTTGCGCTGGTTCTCGAGTTTAAGGGCATAAGCCGCTCCCGAAGCCTGCGGGATCTGTGTGGCGAGAGTGGAGGAGACGGTGTGGACGTGCTGCTTGCTGCTGCCATAGTGTACGGGCATGTTGCGGCCTTTACCGAGGTCGGTGCGGGTGGAGAAGCATTGGTGGATGAATTCGGAGACGGTGGTGCCGCGGTGCAGGAAGACGCCGTGTTCGCGGTACTGGGCGAAGACGGGGTCGGAGGGGAGCAGAGCGGAGGAGGAGCCGACGGCGATGCCTTCTTCGCCGGCGGAGACCATGTAGAAGGAGACTTTGCCTTGGCGTTGGGCGTCGAACATAATGAGGTCCATGATGCTGACGGTGACCATGTCGCGGTAGATTTTCAGCATCTCTTCAGTGCTGAGGTTGACGTCGCGGGAGTTGTCGACTACGACGCCCTCTTGGTCGATGTAGCGGTATGTGGGCATGGCGTCGTCTTCGGTTGCCCGCTTGAACTCGAGTGAGGTCGTGAAGAGGGAGTTGACGGCGCCAGGGAAGTTGACTCTGGTCGTATATCAATACATTGTCCTTCCGTGCGTAGTGTCTATGCTCTTCCTACCGATCTGACCCAGGTCTCTGGCTGACCGAACTCCATCTCTGCTGGCATTGCGCGCACACCATCCCTCCCCTCTGCCTGTGTTGTCTCAATGGGGGCGCGGACGCCGCCAGCGTCCCTCGCAAACTCGTGATCATTCTTCGTGACGCCATCTTGGCTCCGCAGAATGTGCTGTCACATCTTTCGTCCGGTCTGTGTTGCTCAAAAAGACCGACTTTCTGAGGACTCGACGTCCGCTTATCCGCGGCTTCCATCTTCTCCACACTGATTGTACCGACCCCACGCCAAGAGGCGGCTCTGCGAGCGTGGCACGTTAGCGCTATCTCTAATGTCAAGCTTAAATGACATTTTCCAGATCGTCACCACCTGCATCTAGACTCTCGCAGTGACACCGATTGACACCAACCATGTCATCCCTCTCTCTTCGCGCTTCCAAGCGATTCAAGGCCACTCCACCGACATTTACACCATGGGTCTGCCACGCCTGCCGTCAGCGCCGCACATTCGCCTTCACCACCCCCTTCAACCAACAACAACCACCACCACCTCAGCAGCAACAACAAGATGACAACCCAACGCACTTCGGCTTCGAAACCATCTCGTCCTCCCTCAAAGCCTCCCGCGTTGGCGCCGTCTTCTCCTCCGTCGCCTCCAACTACGACACCATGAACGACCTCATGTCCCTGGGAATCCACCGATTATGGAAAGACCACTTCGTGCGGAGCTTGAACCCTGGCATAAGACCCACATCCGGCAAAGAGCAGGAAGGTCAGAGAATACTAGATATCGCAGGCGGAACAGGGGATATCGCACAACGCCTCCTCGACCACGCCACAACCATCAACGGGGATACAAAGACGCACGTCACCATCTCCGACATCAACCCCGCCATGCTGTCCGAAGGCCGCAAACGCTTCGCCGCCTCCCCCTACACCACCGCCGACCGCGTAGACTTCCTCGAAGCCAACGCCGAAACCCTGCCCACCATCGAGTCCAACAGCATAGACCTCTACACCGTCGCCTTCGGCATCCGCAACTTCACGCACAAAGACGTCGCCCTCAGGGAAGCCTTTCGCGTCCTGAAACCCGGGGGCGTATTTGCTTGTTTGGAGTTTACTCCGCATCTAAATAACTCGTTGCTGGATGCGGTTTATAAGCGCTGGAGTTTCGGGGCGATACCGTTGATTGGGCAGGTGGTGGCCGGGGACAGGGAGAGTTATCAGTATTTGGTTGAGAGCATTGAGCGATTTCCACGGCAGGAGGAGTTTAGGGATATGATTAAGGAGGCGGGGTTTATGGTACCGGGTGGTGGGGAGGGAGAAGGGTGGGAGGATTTGAGTGCGGGGATTGCGGCGGTGCATAAGGGTGTCAAGCCTGTGTGAGATAGCTTCTGGGGTTGTCGACGGATAGATTTCGCTTCTCTGTACCTGTTGTGAATCATACGCCAATCTGGGCTTGTGAGGTGCCCTATCACGCACCACGTGCCATTATCCTTCCGCCATACACTCCGCCATCCCCCTCCACAGCCCTCTCTGCCTCTGCCTCTCGCTGTCCTCTCCTCCCGCGCCCTTTTGCCCTCTATCGTCCTCCTCTCCCTGCTCACCAGCCCCCGACTCCCCCAGACTTTTCATCAGTTCCTCCACCTTCCCTCCACCATCCCGTATCCTCTGAATTTCATTCCTCAACCCCTCCACCCGCCCCTCAAGCATCAGCACCAAACTCTCCCTCGCCTGGTGCGGTCGATACCGATTAATCAAATCCTCCATATTAAACGCCAGCGTCTGCAGATCCTCCACTTTGTCCTCGAAACCCTCGGGATTCACCGCTAAATTCCCTATCAGCGAGAGATAAGTCGTGAGCAGCGAGCGCGCGAGGCTGAGGAGAGGAGGTTGCGGATTCAGTTGTGTGTCTGGTGGAGGGGAGGGGTAGAGTTGTTCCACGCCTGCGTCGGCGAGGGAGAGGTCAGGGGCGGTCAGGTTGATGGGGCGGGCGAAGGTGGTGTAGGTTGTTGTTGGTCGGGGTGGGGGGAGGAGGTAGCGGAGTTCGGGGGGCAGGGAGAGGATGTCGAGGTCGGGTTTGCTGTCATGGTTGGTGGTGCTGGTGTCGCTTGAGTTGTTGTCGGTGCCAGTACTGTCGCCGTTGGGTTGTGGGGTTTGTTGGCTGGCGTCTTTCTGTAGTCGGCGTAGGTGTGAGAGGTTGGATTTGGTGAAATGGTGGTAGAAGGGCGGTGGAGCTGGGAAGGGCGCGGCGATGGGTTGGGGTTGATTGTCGGCCATGTCTGAGGTTCTGGTCTTGGTGTGTTGGCCTCGATGTGTTGGCGGAGGCTGTGTAGAGGGTGGAGAGCAACAAATCGAGGTCCGAACGGAGATCGACAAATTAAGCTCAGCTTTAGAGATGGAGCTAGTGCGTCACGAGCGCGGGTGAATCTGGGGTAAAGTGAATCTCACATGTCGAGGACCGGTTGAGAAGGTGTCCGTAATGATTGTGGGATACGAGTGGAACAGCTTGTTCATTTCAGTGAGGAAGCACAGGTCTCCACCCAGGTCTCGACATGCCCCATCTCATCCCCCAAGGCCTTCCCTCAACCCTATTATATCGATCCTCACCAAACAGTATACCCCCCATCAATCCGACAATCCGCCCCCGTCATAAATCCACTCCCCTCCCCCGCCAAGAACACCGCCAAGCAGTTCAAATCATCCACACCCCCCAACCGCTTCTGCGGCGTCAATTCCACCCAAATCTTCTTCTGTGCCTCCAGCGCCGGCACCCGGTTGAGCGCCGTATCCATGTACCCCGGACTGATACTGTTCACTCGGATCCCGTGCTCCGCCCATTCTGCGGCCAGAGATTTTGTGAGCTGAATGACCCCGGCTTTGGAGGCGTTGTAGCTGCATTGGGACTGTGGGAAGTTGACGATGGAGCCGGACATGGAGGCGATGTTGATGATGCTGCCGCCTCGGCGGGAGGAGATCATGTGGGCGGCGCAGGCTTGGGCGGTGATGAAGGTGCCGGTGATGTTGATGTCGAGGAGGCGGCGGAAGGCGGGGAGGGGGTAGGTTTCGGCTTTGATGTTGGAGCTAGTGAGTCCAAGATTAATTGATGCGGGTGGAGCGGAGAGGAGAAAGGGAGGCTTACTCAGCGATCCCGGCGGCGTTGATGAGGATGTCGATGCGGCCGAAGCGGTCGGCGATGCTTTGGACGGTCTCGTGTATTTCATCTTCATCCCGGACGTCGACACGGTAGAAGCAGGCATCGATGCCGGTTTGCCGGCTGAGTTCTCGTGCTGACTGGTCGCCGATGTCTTGCTGGACGTCTAAAATTGCGAGGCCGCGTACGCCGGATTCTGCCAGTGCTTGTGCCATGTTCAGTCCGAGGCCGCGGCCCGCCCTAATAGGGGATGTCAACACAGCGGTGAGAGGATCTGCTTGTCCTTCGTATCTCACCCAGTGACAACAGCAACCTTATCCCGCAGAGTGAACTTGTTCAGCGTCGGCGTGAGCAGAGGGTACACGTTCGAGCTCAGCGGCATAGCAGCCCTTCCAAAGTCGGCTCCTGGAGGTTTGACGGGTGCATTGCCCTGAACCCCAACACCGACTTCTTGCTCCGTCAACTCATCGCCTTGGTAGCCGAGAGCTGAGATGGAAGGGTCGAAGAGTTTCGTTGAGGTGTTGTAGGCTGCTGGTAATGGTCGTCGTTGGAGCTTAGGGAGGAGTCTCAAGGTTGGGCGAGTGGCGTTTCTCAGAACGGAGCTGGCCAGCATGATGCTCCGTCTGAGGGGTGATGGTATGATAGGGCCAGCTGAGGACCCGCAGGTTTGATACAGGAAGATAAGGTTGTGATTGAAAATGGATGAATGGTAAGGCAGTTGGTGATTTGAAGGAGACGATGTTTTTTTTAAAGAGATGAGACGAGCACGTGGAAGATGAAGAAGAAGTGGCCGGCCATCGTACCTGCGCTGCTTCCTTCAGACTGAAGACCGAGACAGAGCGGCTGATGTGCCGCGTGTTCCATTGGTATTAGTACAAGGAAAGACCACTGGCGAGGAAGGAGGAAGGCAACTGCTGAGATGGCCGGAAGAGATATGAGCCAGCCCATTTCGTGCCTTTGGCAGCATGAGCTTCGCCGGCTCAGCAAACGGGTGCGGTCCACGTCGCCAGCGATATCTAGGCCATAATATTCCTATAGCTAGCCTTTCAAAAAGTCAACGAGTAGTGGTGATGTTGATGGAAGAGAGATAGACTTTCAGGCGTCGAGATTCCGCTTCGAGCTGCGCCACCGAGCGTCATCCTCATATGTCGAAGTCGACTCCAACAACATTTATACTTTCACCTCGAGGTACTACATCAGCGAGCCAACTCTATCACTCTCTCTGGACAGCCAGCTTCTCATCTCCTTGGTCTACCAACAGTCGCCCAGACATTGCCACCCTAGCGCCCTCGAGAAGTGTCGCCTTTGTCAGGCTCATACCTACACCCACCTCCGACGACGAGACAAAGGTGGCGGGGGAGATAGCGAATGGCGACAACGAGATGATTACTGGTAGAGCAGCCTACGGATCGCGAAGATGAGCGCGGCGACGTACGCACCACAGCCGCCAAATGGCGGGCCAGCCGGTCCAGGCGGCTCGCGACCTTCGAGCGGCGCCGGCTTCAACGGTGGGGAGCGCAAGTTCGCCCACCTGGATGACCTGAAGCGCATGGCGCTGGAAGGCTTCCATCGGAATGGCTCGGCTCAGCAGCTACTCCAGGACGCGGACGTCGCGCTCAACCAGTCCACCAACCTACTCGACTTCTCCCGGAGGCCCGATCTGGCATACGTCGAGTACTTGAGGGCGTTCGAGATTGTGGCGGAAGTACTGCCGCATCACAAGAGCTGGCCAGACTTGAAGATGGACAATGGAGGCATGAATCAGAAACACCAGCTGCTGCTGAGGAAGTTGAATGTGCAGGGCGAACGGTTCCAGAAGATCAAGGAGATTATTGTGAACAACAACCGGAGGAGCGGCGTGCAGCCGACATCAAATGGGGCAGGTCCGTCATCAACGGTTGGTATGCCACCACAGCAGAGCGGAAATGGGGTGAATGGAAATGCTGGAGGGCAAAAGATTAAGCCTACACCTTCGCCGAAGCCAGAGAGTATGCATGCGAAGGCCGTACCGCCCGCGACGACTATCGCGGCAGCAGGAGATGCCCTCAAAGACCGTCTGGCCGCTCTACGCACCAAGAACGCAGCAATAGAGACAGGTCGACCGGACTCCCGAGGTTCCACTCACTCTTCAATACATAGCTCGCCAACTTCAATCTCGATGCCAAACGCGGGTGACTACGGCAGCAGAGACTCCTTCGACAGTCTGACAGGTGGTGTTTCACGACTGTCGATGAGCTCCGCACAAAGACCGCTGGGACCCAGAGGGATGCCGAACGGTAACGGAGGGCCACCATTACCAGGCAAGCTACCACTCAATACCAGCTTTGCTGCCATGCCGCAAGAACCGAAAGCCACGTATAGCCCAGCGAGGAACATGCAAGCACAGGGCAACATCGACCTGCCTCGGCAGACACCTAGGAGTTTAGTGTCGACCAGCAGCAGGAAGTCTTCGCTGGCACCCTCTTCATCCGCCTCGTACCATGCACCAAATGGCGCTCAATCGTCTACAGAACCGGGCGACTACTTCCCACCACTTTCTCGTCCTACCTCGAACTCGGTACAGCCTGGCCAGCTCCCTCGACGGAGGTCGGTCAATGCGCCTGAGACCAGCATCAGCGCTCAACGGCTCTACGACTATCTAGATCGATACAACGTCCTTCTGCTCGACTTCCGGCCACGTCAAGAGTTCGATTACGGCCACATCTTCCATCGAAGCGTCGTGTGCATCGACCCCATTCACGTTACACGAGGCATGAGCGCCGATGAGCTGCTGGATCGCATGGTGATCAGTCCGGACATTGAGCAGGAGATGTTCATGAACAGGGACAAGTACGACATCATTGTGTACTACGATACTGGAACGCGGTCGGAGACGTTCATGACCCACCCTAGTACCGAGTTGGAGACTAAGCTGAAGTACTTGCATGAGGCACTTTTTGATTTCAATCAGGATAAGCCATTGCAGCGGCCGCCCATACTACTTGTTGGAGGCATCGATGCTTGGGCGGATCTAGTCGGATCGCAAGCATTGGCGACCAGCGACACTTCGTCCAGAGCCAAGCCTGGCCGGCCTCTTCAAAGACGGCCAGTCCCAGGGCCGTTACAGAATCGCAAGCGAAGACTGAGGGAATACAACCCGCTTGACGAAGACGAAGAGCGCAAATGGCGAGAACGGGCGAGAGCTGAGAGTGTTGTGCTAACGCCTCCTGCCGTGACCGAAGAACCGGAAGGACTACCAGTAGACGGCATCCCAGAAGAGGAAGAGGAGCCGTCAACGCCGTACAACGCTACTATTGATAGCTTCAACCAGCGATTCCCGGAGGCTGGCGAGCTGGATCGGTATGCTTTTGGACCGTTGGAGCCGAAGCGCGCACCGCCTGCGCCGCCTCCGAAAGTGCCGCTCGCAAACTACCCGCGCGCACCTCCGGCTTCTGTGTACCCATCAATACCTGCGCGGCCTATGCCCGCCGCGCCACGGCCGAGCTATACTGGTGTCTCAGATCGTGCTGGCGCGCAGAATGTCCCTGCTGCTCGATCTTCCAGTATGGTGCCTTATATTCCTGCGAAGTACCTCTCAAGCTCGTTCAAGATACCCCAGACTGGCCTCATCAACTTTAGATTCACCTGCTACATGAATGCAACGCTGCAAGCTTTGTCCGCCACAAAAGCACTCAGCATCTTCTTCATGGAAGAAGCCTTCCGGAAGCACATCCAGCGAGAAAACTGGAAAGGAACCAAAGGCATCATGCCCGAACTCTACGCCAACGTCATCCAGTCGCTCTGGAAAAACGACGTCTCCTGCATCAAACCCACCTCCTTCCGCAAATTCTGCGGCCGCCAAAACAGCGAATGGATGAACGACAGCAAAGAGCAAGACGCCAAAGAATTCTTCGACTTCCTCCTCGACTGCCTGCACGAAGACCTCAACATCCAATGGTCCAAGCCCCCGCTGCGCGAACTCACCACCGCCGACGAAATCAAGCGCGAGCGCATGCCCAAATCCGTCGTCGCCCAGGTCGAGTGGGCCCGCTACACGCGCCGCAACCAGTCCTTCCCCCTCACCCTCTTCGGTGGCCAGTACAGCAGTCTACTCCGCTTTGCGGGATGCGGCCACACCAGCACCACTCACGAAGCCTTCTACGCCCTTTCGGTGGAAATCCCGACGCACATCCGCGACCGCCAAATTACCCTCGACGACTGCATCCGCTCCTTCTGCCAGGAAGAACGCCTCGACGTGCAGGAACGCGCGAAATGCGACCAGTGCAACGAACGTCGCGACTCGACCAAACAGCTCACCTTCACCCGCGCCCCGCAGTACCTCGTCATCCACTTCAAGCGCTTCAACCAGTCCCGGCATCGGGCGACGAAAATCGACGTCCCCATCGACTTTCCCCTCGAAAACTTCGACCTCGGACCGTACATGCTCCCTTCCCCCTCACAATCAGAATCCGAGCTCATCGCGAGAGACTACGGTAGCGACTACCTCCGTCCCGACCCCACGATGACGGGTCCGTACACGTACAGCGCGTACGCGGTCATCCGCCACATAGGCCGGGACATCGAGAGCGGACATTACACGAGTCTGGTGAGGGATTTGGGTAGGAGTACGTGGAGGTGTTTTAACGATGACAAGTTTACGGATTTTGAGCCGGGCAGGGGCGGGTGGAGTGGCAGGAGTGCGGTGCAGAATCATGAGGCGTATATTGTGTTTTATCAGAGGAATAATGGGGTCGGGGCTGGGGGGCAGCCGCCTTTGGGGCCGGGGGGTGTCGGGAAGATTTAGTGTGGTGAATGGGACTGGGTGAAATGTGTACTTGTGAGCGTTCTGAGCGATGCATCTGGGCATTGATGTGATGATGGATAGTGTTGTGGTATGCATGAGTGCACGAGCGATGAAATATATGTGCTTCTGAACATCGAGATCTGAGTCCTCTATCCCACTCAACCCATCAGACCTTCTTCACTCGCCTTGATTTGGAGTGCCAGAAAGCGGGAGTAGATCCGACACAGCGCCAGACTACCCCCCATAAACCACAACTTCGGATGTCCCGACGGCCGCCACATCTACACCAACACATTAGCAAGCACGCCCCAACCCCCAACTCCTCATCTCCGTCGAGAAGAAGAAAGACAAAGACTCACCGCATTGACTTCCCCCTCCTCATCCAAATCCCAAACATCCTTCGCCCGCTGCGCCACCTTCTCCCCCAACGTCTTCCTCAAAGTAGTCCGCATGTTATCATACCCCGTCGCCAGCACCACCACATCCGCCTCCAACTCCTTGCCACCCTTCAACACCAACCCTTTCTCCGTGAACCCCTCGATGCCGTCGGGGCTCTGCTCGACTTTGATCTTGCCGTCGATGATGAGTTGGCTGGCGCCGACGTCGATGTAGTACCCGCCACCGCGCGTGACGTATTTGCGGTAGATGCCGCTGCCGTCGTGGCCGAAGTCGAGTTTGAAGCCGACTTTGCCTAGACCTTCGATGTTGGCGCGCTCGGCGGCTTTGATTTTGTCCGTCATCCCGACGTTCAAGGCGAATTGGACGGGGATGGGGAGGGATTGCCCGGCGATATCGGCGTCTTCCGTTGGAGGGCCGTGTTCGTCGTACATGCCTTCGTGGAGCATGAAGAGGCCGGTTTTGGCGGAGATGACATAGGTGCCGCTGCGTTGGAGCATGGTTACTTCTGCGCCGTTCTCGTGGTAGTTTTGCGCGATGTCGTGGCCGGAGTTGCCTGTGCCGACTACGACGACTTTCTTGCCGCTGACGTGGGACTGCGTGCTGGCGTCCTGGTGCTGGGAGCCGTGGTAGACGGTGCCGGCGAAGGAGTCCTGGCCGGGGAAAGAGGGGATTTTGGGCTCCCCGGCGTGGCCGGTGCACATTACCACGTGCTGGGGTTTGAGGTCGCGCGTGCTGCCGTCGGCGCGGGAGATGGTGGCGGTCCACGAGGAGGTAGAGTCGTGGTACTCGGCGTTGGCGACGCGGGATGCAAGCCAGATGTTGAGTTCCATGGCGTTGGCGTAGATTTCGAACCAGTCTGCCAACTTGTCTTTGGGCGTGAAGAGCGGCCAGTTGGAGGGGAAGGGCATGTAGGCCATATGGGTGTACTGCACGGGGTCGTGGGTGACGAGCGTGCGGTAGCGGTGGCGCCAGTTGTCGCCGACGCGCTCGTTCTTGTCGATGATCAGGCAGGAGAGGCCCATAGCTTGGAGGCGGGCTCCGAGGTTGAGACCGGATTGGCCGGCGCCGATGATGAGGACTTGTGGCTCTCCGTCGAGGAACTCTTTCTGGCGCTGTCGACGCTCGTACCAGTTGCCCTCCATTGGGCCGCCTTTGAGCGATTCATTGCCGCCGTGTGGCCTGTTCTCACCGGCCGCCTCCACGCAGCCCTTCAAGTCTTGGAGAGCCGTGTACAGCATGTGCGCCTTGAATGAGCCGTTGGGCAGAGCGACAAGCCTGACCATGCCCTTGCCTGAGCCGACGCCCGTCTCAAAGTGGAACATGGACTCCACCCACTCGAGTTGCGGGATTGGTTCCTGCCTGTTGGGTGCGAACTTGCCGCTCTCCTGCATTTTGATAGACCCCAACTTCACTTTTCCCATGAGCGGCTCAAGGAATTGAGTGATCTTCGAAGGGCCGCGTAGAGTACGGAAGTCCCATGTCAGGGCCAGGTGGTCGCGGAACCACCCATCCTCGTGGAAGAGTGCGGCGACATTGCTCGCACTGCCGCTGTCGAAGGCGGATTGGAAGGCTGAGAGCCATTGTTGGACGGCTTCTGTGGGAGACTGCTGTACTTCTTTTATAGAAACATCAGGGAGGCTTTTGCTGAGTTGCGGGAGGGTGATGTCGTGCGGTTGTGCTACGATTGGGGCGGCCATGGTGAGGAGCTCAGAAATGATACAGAGAGAAGACAAAGTGCAAATAACTCAGAAAGACCAGAATATCTACCTATCGCAGCTGGGGAAGCGTATTTGTACCTGTCTTTACTTACCTGCCCTCCGTCAAGACCGTCAATGACCCACGATGCTCGTCACCGAGACCGCTGACAGGGTCGCAAGAGCTTCCGTAGCTAGAGGCGCTGGCATCGTCGCATCTTCGCCGTCTGTCGGTAGCCTGTGGGTGTGGTCATCCGGTGTCTCGTTGGAGTTCTTCTGTGGGTATGAGAGACGCGGAGTCGCAAGTCGAGTGGCAAAGATGGGTCGTTGCGGTGGGCAGGTCCGCCGACGGGCCATGTCGAGACCGACGCGGCCAAGCAAGGTCTCGGACGAGAAGGTTTCGCGACCTTCTCTGCCACGTAACCTGCCGGAGTACCTTTGCCATATCATCGGACACCAGCTCCGATGAAGTGTTCTGGGAGAACCAGGACTGAATCTGGTCGACGGCATGGTCATGAGTGCGGCACATCACGTACAGACTTACATTCACCAAGGCATCGAGTCGAATTCCAAGTCTCGGGACAGTTGGTGTTGCTCGTGTCCAAGGGACAGCTTCTTTGCGAGACCGTGTAATACTTTCGTTCTTGTAGTTGTATAAACGAACGGACCTGAAAAGAGGTTGACGAGAGAATCGGGAGCAATGGAGGAGCTTGGTTCGGGTAACAATATCAAAACGTTCAGGAGTCAATTCTCGAATGCATGTGTCGCAAAGTTCATTGTGATTGCCTAACTATGCCATTGGATGCGTAGTACAATCACCGCCCCCTCCAGTAAAGCCTCCAATGCCGCCTACTTGGGCACCTCCTCAACGTGGCTGATACCACTCAACTTGCGATCGAACACTTCCGCCTCCGTCGTCATCTCAATCCGCCTTCTCTCAGCATCAATCGCCTCCTGCGGGCGTTTATGCTGCTTGGCGACCTTGTCTCCAATGCGGATGATGGTGGTGTGTCCAGAGTCGCGGTCGAAGTAGGCGTCCAAGTCTTCGAGTGTGCGGTTCGCGGTTTCTGGGTAGAGGAAATAGACAACGGGCAGGAAGACGACGTTCAGGACAGCGAAGACTAGGGACGTTAGTTCGGGGGGAGGTTTGGGATGGGGTGTTTGACGTACTAATGTAGAAGCGGTAGCCCAGGTTCCGGATGCCGACAGATGTGAATTGGGTGCAGACGAAACCGAACAGCTACAGGAGCGGTGTTAGCAGCAGACCTTGAACGACTATGTTTCCTGGGCTCACCCAATTCATGCTAGTCGCAGCAGCAGCGCCACGGACTCTCATCGCTAGAGAATTGATCTCGGCTTGGTAAATCCAGGGCACCATGCCCCAGGTGCATCCAAAAGCTGCGTAGTAGAAGAACAAGAACGTAATGGCAACGGCTCCCCACTGCACGAATCGTCAGCCCATCGCATGCGAGGTCAGGGTGTGCTTATGTCTTACCTGCTGTGGTGCAGTAGCCAGCAGAGCCACAGAGATGGCGACCATAATGTAAGCGAAACCTTGCAAGCCCAGACCTGACAGCATGAGGAATCGTCGGCCGGCTCTCTCGATGATCCAGAAAGCCATAGCGGTGGATATGCAGTACGTCGTTGCGTTGACGCCGGTCAGAACACGAGCCATAAGTGCGGTCATTCCGAGGTTCTCCTGAAGGATGATGCTGAAGTAGTAGTTCAGTGCATTGATCTGGCCATATAAGTCAGTAAGGTGTCGTTGAAATAGGGCTATTTGAAAGCTTACACCGCCCATCTGCTGCATAAACTGTCCTCCCATACCCAACAGCATGCGCTTGAGATGCGACGATCGATCTCTGCAAAGGATGACCTGCTTGAACGAGATCTTCGACTGCCGCTCAATCTCCAGCGCACCACGAATAGATTTGTACTCGTTTTGGACCACATCGTCGTCGGCGGTCAGACCCTTGCCGAGATATCTTCGCAATGACTCAATGGCCTCCTCATGTCGATCCTTGAGCATCAGCCAGCGAGGTGATTCGGGCACCAGAAACAGGAAGATGATGAGCACGATAGCCGGAACGAGCTGGAGAGCGAACGGAATCCGCCATTGTCCCGAGTTGTCCAGGAAGAAGGTCCCAAGGGTCAGCCAGCTGGCGATCATGTAGAAGACGACGTTGTGCAGGACTACGATGACGGACAGTTTGCCTCGTCGTGAGCCACGGACGGATTCGGCTTGGAAGACGCCGCAGGTTGCTGAGGTCATGCCTGTTTTTCGATCAGTACAATAGCATACCTCGTTCTCGTGCGTAGATACCATTGCCGAGTCCATTGATCACCCTCCCAAGCATGAGTTGTTCGAACGCGGTAGCCGAGAATTGAAGAATTGCTCCGATGCTGCTGATGGCTGCGCCAACTCGTAGAGTGTTCTTACGACCAAGCTTGTCGCCGAAGAGAGCGGCGAGGAGACAGCCGACGAGGTTCCCGAGCTGCTCTGATTAGCTGTGCACCGCACACGTCTGGTAGTCTGAGGCATACCGAGAAGATGCTGGTAAAGGTGCCTTCGATAACAGGAGTTCTAATTTGTGGAAAGGTGTCTAGGAATCGTTCGCTAACCAGGATCCCGGCGATGATGCCCTGTCAATTGTCAGTCTCGTTCTTTGAACGAGGAGGTGGTTGTGTCGGACATACCTGCTCATACCCATACCATGCCTGAGCAGCCGCATTGGCCGTCGTCAAGACGACCTCAAGCGCGTAACCTTCAAATTGGATCATGGTGAATGACTTCTGTGGAGGAGGCCTTTGCCAGCAAGATTATAGCAGCCGACAAGCGCGACATGTCTGCCATTATATAGTTCTAAACTGGGGTGTTGTGGGCCGTCCCCAAGAGCCCCGGCCGGGCATAGCCTGGGGTACAGGAGACGACATCCGGGCAGAGATCGGCGGTAGCATGGCGGTATGCACGTGGTCAATGACTCGGGTAGGACGTGAGGTGAAACCTACGGCAAGGTTTGGGCGAAAGTGCGGCTGTAGACGGAGTGAGGCTGTAGGGTCGGTGGAGAGGGGAGAGGGGAACTTGGCTCGGCCTCGACATGGCCCGAATATGAGACGACAGCCGGCGACGCGGACACACTCTTGCCGCCAACCTATTCCTTCTTGGAGTCAACTTCCACGCCACCTATGGATGAGACAGGGCCGACTCCGCCGTCGGAAAGGAAAGTCGCGTGAGTGTGCTCGGATACCTTTTGCAGAAGTCCGTCGTGTTGAATGTCCAGCAGTTGCAACGTATGCCGGAGGCGAAAGACGGCTTGTGACAGAGCACGGCCGAAATGTAGTCTTTGCACGAAGAACGGCTTGGTTTGCCACTATGCGGACAAGGAGCGACATACGCCGGGTCTACGAGCCGGATATGTCCAAAGTCTCGAGCAGCGGATAGGTGAGTGGCTAATACCGATACTCGTAGCACAGCTAAGAACATGTAGATGGCTTGGAGAGCAGACTCCAACGCCTCGAGTCCCGCGTGCCGACCGATGGTGTCACGGATCCCATGCAGGATGCCACCAACAGCGATGGCCCCGAACATGTGCACCACTTTTATGCGGACGGAAGGCCATCGACCCAAGGGTCAGGCTATTTCGCAGGACCAACCGAGCGTCTGGAAGGCGCAAGCAATCACGACGAGCACTCATTCAATCTAGACCATATTGGAGATCCTTCGCCACAGAATACCGGCACTCCGACTGACCCTCTCGCGTTTCCGGTCGTTCAGGAGCTCTGTACAGTATGGTTCCAGAAGTATCACCGATGGCTCCCGATTCTGCATCGGCCGACATTCATGCAGACTTTGGAGTCGGCCGAGAGAGTGAGATTGTCCAACTACGCGCCTGTGGTGGAAGCCATCGTCGCAATCACCCTTCCACACTCCAACGTGATATCGGCATCTGCGTTACACCAAGAGCATCTGCGAAACCAGCTTAGCTCATCCGTGGTTCTCCAATGCATCGATAGGCAGTCAGCGCAGTCAGCGCAAGCTCTGCTAATACTTTCGGTCTTCCACTACGGAGAAGGTAACTTCACACGCTCATGGAATATGCTGGCGATGGCTCGAAGGATTAGCGTTCATCTTGGCCTCACAGCTCCGGGAGACTCAGGTACCGCGTCAAGTCCAACAGCATTGAGGAGACTGGCAGACTTCACCAATACCACTGTTACCCAAGAAGAAAGGACACGAGCCTACTGGATGAGTCAAATGCTGGAAAGCATCTCTACCGTCGGGGCACCCTACGAGCTCGCCCTGTCTGCGACCCCTGGGCATCCGTTGTTGCCCTGCAGCGACACCTTCTGGGACTTTCCGGACGAAGTTATGAGTGAGCACCAGATCCGCCCTTACAACTACTGCTCCGCCTTCTCTCTGTGCGTCATTCTCGCTGCTTCCGAGCTCTCCGTCGTTCATCAATTTCTGCGTCGAGCTGTCAACATGGAGGCTTTCGAAGAGCGGGACGCCTGGCAAATAGAAGCGCAACGCATAGACGAGCGACTTACCGCTTGGCGGGACGAGTTCGTGGCAGCTGTCTTCCGTCTGATAAACGCCGAGTACGCATCGAGGGAGCGGCCCGAAATGGACGCCTACGTGGTATTAACGAACTGCGTCCTCAACACCGCTGTCATCACCCTACTCCAACGCCGCGCCGCGTGCCCTGAAGGTACCGATCAGACTGTGGAACCTTGGGCATTCGCCAACACTCGATGTGTATATGCAGCCGAGAACACCGCTTTCAAGATCCGGCAAATGGACGAAGACGAACTGCTGGTCTGCCATCCACACCTGATCTTCTCCATCTTTGTGGCAGCTCGTTTCTACATCGTGCATTCCAAGGCTCTGGATGCGAGTGTCCCAACGAACCTTCACTGCCTGGCATTCGCGCTGCATACGTGCGGTAAGACGTGGCCGTTGGCTTGCTACTATGAAAAGATTCTTCGCATTGCGGTGGCTGAATATCGTACACCGGTTGTGCTTGCGAGCTTGCCCAGAGTGTTTTATGATCTGCGTCAGACTACGTTCGAGATTGTGGACACTTTGATTGAGTGGGTGAAAGGACCTGGTGTTGATGCTGGTGCGGCGATGCCAGCGGCGAGCGGCCACAACGGCTCAATGATCTTTACGCCGATGACGACCAACCCTCTTACTTGAGACTTCCTGGATCTGCGGGCTGAGTATGAGTTCACCTCGGAGTTGAATGACACTTTTCGGTGACCAGAAGCAGCTCGGCGGTACACGGCCCGAGCTGGACTATGTGGAGGATACTATCAAATGTGGAACACGTTGTTCGCTTCAAGACTCAGGCTTGAGCACCTTCCACGACACTCAAGAACTATCACAATGGGGTCTGTCGAACACACCAACGGTACTGCGCCGCAGTTGAACGGGAGCATTCAGCACAACGCCGGTTCGGACCTTTTCCGACTCAATGACCGAACGGTTGTTGGTGAGCACACCTCCAAACACCAAACCGCATACACGCTGACAGCAGCAGTGACCGGCGGTCTCGGAAGCTTAGGCGTCTCGCTAGCCCAGACGCTGCTGGAATATGGTGCCGATGTAGTTTGCACTGACCTTCCCGAGGCGCCTCAGGATGAGATATGGCGTGGGTCTCCACCATCGCAGTGCTGTGCGTCCTCGTAGCGATCTAACGACGACCCAGTCACGCTCAAGAAAGTCGCCGACTCAACCGGCGGGCAACTAAGATACGTCTCATGCGATGTAACCAACGAAGACAGCGTCTCGCGAGCTTTCGAAAGCGCTGAATCTGGCTCTCGCTATCCAATCCGCGGCCTGGTCACATGCGCCGGCATTTCAGGACGGTGTCCTGCCGTCGACTACCCCGTTGACAAGTTCCGCCGGATCATGGATATCAACGTCACGGGGACGTTTCTCTGTGCCACGGCAGCTGCTCGCGTTATGCAGAGGCAAATGGTCTCCGGGAGTATTGTGATGCTCGCGAGCATGTCTGCGACAAATGTCAACCAGGTGCGTTGCTGGTGTTGCGCCGTTCCAAGAAGTTTGAGTGGTTATTGACCAAGAGCAGGGCGTGCACACATGTGCATACAACACTTCTAAATCAGCTGTGCTACAGCTCGCCAGGAGTCTGGCTGCTGAATGGGGTAATGACGGAGCACATCCTCCTATCAGGGTCAACACGTACAGCCCTGGGTAGGTGTCGCATCCTCTCAAGACCCGCGACGCTTGACTGACAACGCACAAGATATATCATGACCCCCATGACAGTCCCAACCTTCGAAGCGCTTCCCGGCTTGAAACAGCTGTGGCCAGAAGGGAACATGCTCGGTCGGATGTCGACGGTGGAGGACCATAGATCTGGCATTGTGTATCTGTTGTCGGACGCGAGTGCGTATATGACTGCCAGTGATTTGAGGGCGGACGGGGGACATTGTGCTTGGTAAAGTTGAGTTGCGATGATGGAAGGATTCGGACGAGAGAGTGGTGGATGTGCGTGGTAAAGTACAACAACCAAAGCAGTCATATCGTTGCTGGATTCGACGTGGATTGAGGATTGTTCCCGCGAACAGTCACGTCGCACAGCATTGGTAAGCTTGAGCTGAAACCACACCTCAAAACCGCCCACGTCACCGCACTCGTAAAGAATGCACGACGAAACACCAACAGAGTGGCCCTCCACCACGACATTAAGGTACTTTTCCATACCAAACACAGTAACTTGGTGTCAAACAAGATCCAAGAGACCGGCCTCCGAGTAAAATGTATTACGGTGGTGGCGTAGAAACAACCTGTTGTGTGGTACCATACGTCCGTATGTTCGCAGTCGAGAACGTTCCGATGGCCTTGCTGACTGTCATACAGTGTATGAATCCTACGTACATGTAGCTCAGGGCGCTCCATGATGGATGCATTGCGGAGTTGCTGTCCCTCATTATCAATCCGACAGACTTCGCCTTGCTCTACATCCTGACTCCATTCAAGCATAGCTGTCGTCGTTCCCTATATCTAGCAAGACCCTGACTGCATGTACCAGACGACACTCATCTTACCTTCTCATACCAAGCTGATAACAATGGCGTTCACTCCAATCTTCAACAGCTTCCAGCAGAAGCCTCTTTCGCAGTACTTCCGTGGAGGCAGCCTTGTCTCCTTCCAAACAGTATGTGCGAGCGTCCATACGATGCGGATGCCCTGCTGACGAATGGGAGATGCTTCGAGACCAACTCACGATCCCCACCTGGCTCATGGTCGGTGCCCTCCTTCAAGGCCTCTTCAGCTTCCTGCCATACCGCAACATTTCCCTCGTTGCTCCTGTGGCCCTTGTCATCCTCTACAAGACCGTTGCAGCGATGCTCCAAACCGTTGGTGTCCTCAAAAACCCCTACTTGGAAGGCACAATGGGCCAGCGAACCGCGATCATGTACGCCAACGAACACGGCCACTACGAGAACCCCGGCGACCGCGAAGTCTGCGCCATCATGCTCGCATCCCGCTCCAACCACCCCCTCGGCATGTTCGCTCCCGGCGTCAAAGACGTCGGTGACCGCTTCAAGGCCATGGTCAGCGAACTCGAATCCGACCCAACCGCCCACGGCTTCCTTGGGGCCTCCACCTGGCTCAACTCAGGCGACCGCGGGTACACCTCCGAGACCATGGTGTTTATATATTTCGCCTCCATGCACCATCTTCACGAGTACTCCCATGGGAAGATGCACACGGAGACGATGCAGTGGTGGCAGGCGAATCTGCATCGGCTGAGACATTTGGGAATTATGCATGAGGTATTTGCTGCGCCGAAGCATGCGTCCGAGGGGGTTTATATCAATTATCATCCTACCGGGCTTGGGGCGACGTTTACTGAGGCAGAGGTGGACGGGGAGAAGGTTTGGGTCAGTCCGCTGGTGGAGGGGAAGGGGAAGATGAGGTATAGTAAGGGTAGGATGGGGAGGCAATTTTCCGAAGAGAAGGAGTGGGCTGCTTTTGAAGAGGCGTTCGTCGACGTTTGATGGTGCAGCAGCGTGTCAGACTAAGGATAATGAGTTCTACTATGTATCGATACATGATTCCCATCGTTGACTTATCGTCCGGTTCACATATTGGGCCCTTGCGTGATTGCGTGGGTAATTGCGGCCATCCTAATGCTGCGTACATTGTCCTTGAAGCCGGGTCATCGGAACAAGAAGCGTTGAATGTTGTTGCTGGGGACTGCTGAGACGAAACAAGAACGGCGCAATGATACATTCAATCTATATCCAAAACTTCTCTTTCTCCCTTATCTTTTTATTAACTCCAGTCCCGGTCTCCCGGTTCCTTGAAACAGATATAGCAATGCTTGTTTTGAAACAAGCCTTGCGGAGTGGCTGTCATGACATATGCGGCGGCAAGCGCGACCCACATACCACACGTTCCTCGTCCCTGATCTGGCGCGCGTCGACCAGTCCAGAGATCTCCTTTCAGCCCATCTCTAAACTCTATACCACACCATCGCCATGCCATATCGGTTCAGCACTATTCTGCAATAACAACACCACATTCATGGCCTCAAACAAGAAGCCTTGGGTCTTCCTGCCCTTCCTGGGCGGCTCGTCGAAGAACCCCGAAAGGGACATCGCGAGGGGACAGAATGGAGCGAGGGCAGAGAAGACAAAGGATGTAGTTGATCCGGCGCTGGCGATGCAGGCGACTGTAGACGATTTCGCTAACATGGATGAAGAAGCGATGTGAGTTGACGCCCCAAGTCGAGACCAGTTACTCACACCAGATATATGCTAATATCACATCCTTCGCCACAGCGTACAAGACTACAACAGTCCGATCCATATGTGGGTAGGTGTTCCCCTTTCCCCGAATCAAATCCACCGCCATCTAACCGTACCACCCCGACCAGGTCATAGCGACGCTCTTCCCCCTCACAGCAGGGACCTTTGGCCCAATGGCAAGCATGTTCAATATATGTACGTCGGGTCTAGGACGTAGCAGCCAACATCGTACCGTTCTTTCCCTACGCTGGACAATATGCTGACGCCTTTCACCTATATTTATAGGTGCGATCGCAATCCCCTGGCGTCTGATCGTCAATCCGGAGTCCACACAGTCTAACGGCACTCACATTGGTGATCCGAAATGGTGGGCAAAACCCTACCTACCATGTCTAAGACATTCGCTGACGCATTCGCCCTTCTGTCTGTAGGCTCGTCGGCGTCAACATCGTCTCGCTCGTCATCGCCATCCTAGCGAACCTGTCCTTACTGGGTCAAATGACGAACCGGCTGCGGTACAATGTGAGCGGTCCGATTACCATTATCGGCTTCTTCATATCCGGCTTCGTGGATATCGCGCTTGTGGGAGCCGCGGAGTCGCATCTGAAACTCCCAGACACGCCGAACGCTACTTATTCACAAGCGTTCTACTATGCGGCGATTTCGGGAGCGATTTATGTTATCCTGGCGATGATGCTGAGCGTCACGGCCTACGGGATCTGGTTCGGCCGCTACAGCACGGAGTTCAAGCTCAGCATGTCGCAGCGGTCTCTGATGCTGCAGACGATCCTGCTGCTGACTTACATCCTCGCTGGCGGGGGTGTGTATTCTGTGATTGAGAAGTGGTCGTATCTGGATTCGACGTACTTCAGCGTGGTTACCATTTTCACCATCGGGTTTGGAGACTTCACGCCTGCGACACACCTTGGAAGAAGTCTATTCTTCCCATTTGCAGTTGGAGGGATCCTGTTCGTTGGTGTCATCATTGCTAATATCAGGACACTGGTACTGGAGAGTGGCTCTGTGAAGGTGTCTACCAGACTGGTGGAGAAGGCAAGGTTCAAGTCTATCAAGGCTGGGAATCCGGACGAGGGCATACTGAGGCTGAGAGGTGTCAAGAAGCGGGACTGCAATGCCGACACCGAGCTGGAGAGGAGGGAGAAGGAGTTCCTCATCATGCGTGAGATCCAGGCGGAGGCAGCGCAGAACAACCGGCTCTTCAGCTTGATCTTCTCTTCGATCGCCTTCATGATCCTCTGGTTCATCGGCGCCGTGGTCTTCTGGCAGGCCGAGTCCAAGAGCGTGGGAGGCGAGGACTGGACCTACTTCTCCAGCCTCTACTTCACCTTCGTCGCTCAGCTGACTATAGGATACGGTGAACTCGCACCGCAGACCAACTCCGCGAAGCCCGCCTTCGTCTTCTGGGCCCTTATTGCCTTGCCGACTCTCACCGTTCTCGTTGGAGCCATCGGCGACACGGTCTCCGCCTTCGTCAACTGGTACACGACCTGGATCGGCAACCACACGGTCAACTTCTGGCGCATCTTCCGCGCCCCCTTCACCAGCTCCAACCCAAAATCCGCGATCAAGAGCGCCGCGCGGGACATGCGCGAGGACCGCGAGAAGTCCAAAGCAGCCGAAAACGGCGGCGCGGAAGCAGACAACGGATTCCGCCAAATTGCCCATCTGGAGCAGCAGTCTACCGTCCCACACGGCTTCGACCTCTCCGGCTTGACAGAAATGGAAGCAGCCGTCGCAGAAGAGACGTACAAACCTTTCATCATCCTCAAAGCCTCGCAGAAGATCCTCGAACACCTGGACGCTTCCCCGCCACGCAAGTACTCCTTCCAAGAATGGACCTGGCTGCTCAAACTTCTCGGCGAAGACGAGACGGACGAGCGGGGGCACAGGCGCGTGGGGCAGGAGTTACCGGAGGGCGCGGAGGTGGTGAGTCCGGTCCGCACGCACGGAAGCCAGATGTGGAGTTGGCTAGGGCAGGAAAGCCCGTTGATGAGTTTGGAGGAGGATAGTGAGCCGAAGTGGGTGCTGAAGAGGCTGATGTGGGCGCTGGAGAGGGAGTTGAAGGAACGGGCGGAGAGGCATATTGAACGGGATATTGGGGCGGAGTGTTTGCCGGGAGGCAGTAGTGGGAGTAGCAAGGAAGGTGAGGCTAGTGGGAGTAGTAAGGATGGGGAAATGAGTGAGAAGGGAGGCCAGGGGCAGGGGCAGCATGATACTGTGGACTTTGCGAAGTGAGAAGCGGGTGTGGGATTATGGCATGGTCTTGGAGAGACGGGCGTCTGCTCATAGCCGTACATCTGGATTAGCGAGGAGCCTGGGAGTCTTGAAAATGCAATTGCGACAGTGTAGCATAAGACAACTTTGGCGCGATGGATGTCCTTGAAGGAACCCTGAATCGAGCATGACTTGGCGACAGTTCGTATGTACATATTGTTACAAATCATAGCATTAGAGCTGGCCTCCAAGCAAAAATCCTCTGCCTCTCAGAAAGGTTTGGTTGTTTCCTCGCTGCTTCAACATTATCTATAATGGAGAAGCTACAGCGGCCTTAGTCGAGAGGCATGCCCGGAAGTACCCTGGACCCTTCGGTTGCCGTCTAGACGTACAGTCGACGGAGTACTCTTTGGCAGTCAAAGCTCGCCCGACTTCGAGGTCCCCCTCCCTTTAGAGACTGATGACTTTCTCCGGGCTGATGTTGGGTGCTATTGGCACGGTCGTCGTGCTTCATGCGAGATCGTCCGGTATAGTTCCAGAGTCGTACTACATCATCGAGGTCCGTCTCTCGCCCCATATCCAGCAGGTCCGTCCTCATCAATCCCATACGCCTCCTCTTCATCCCTGACCCGCTGGAAGCCATCGTTCGGACCCGCAATCCCGCTCTTCGTTGGCATAGAGTACGGCTCGTCAGAATGCTTGTCCAGCAGTCCAGGGTAGTACCTCCGCCAGGTGAAATATGCCACCAGTAGCCCCAAAATCGCACCGACCGTCACGTCCTCCTTGTCATGTCTGTAGTCTTCCAGCCGGGATATCGCGATCAATGCCGCCCCGAGCAAAGGCGCGATGCACAACAGCACAGTCAGCAGACTCGTTCTTGGATGCATCAGATGTGTCTGGCTCGCGAAGAACAAACTTAGGTACCCGAGTCCAGCGAACGAGAAGCTGCTGTGTCCGCTTGGAAAGCTGCGCCAGCCGTCGTGCAAGACGTGGTGGATAGTCTCTGTGCACACTTCCACCCCAACCAGCTCGTTCTTCGGCGTGGAGATGTCCGGCGAGCATCGCGCGATCAAGTCTGGTCGCGGTCGTCCAACGGCATCCTTGATGACATCCGTGAGAAAGCTGGTGAGCAGCACACTCGTCGCTAGCCCCAGTATCGACACATGCGCTTTATGCACATCCCGCCTCCAGATCAACGTCCACACCACCACTATTATCAACGGCAGTCCACCCGCGTAGAAGAAGAGCCAGAACACCGGCACCCTCTCGACCTCCGCATGCGGGTATTGTATCCGCGGATCGTCGAGTCGGAACAGTTGGTGGAACGGCTCGTCAAAGACTTTGAGAAGAACCTCGAGCACGACGAGGAGGATAAAGGCGGTATAGTCGCCGGCGTAGCTCTTGTGCCAGAAGCGCTGGAGGGTCTCGAGGAGGCCAGTGTCGTTGGAAGGGGACATGCGCGCTTTGCGGCCGTGGCGGACGTCTTCGCGTTGGGCGGTGGCCATTGAGGAGGAGGGTGTATCCGTACTTTAGCGCGACATGGTGGTTGTGAGAAGGGAGCGAGGTTGGTGCAATGCGAGATCGTGTTCCTCCGTCATCTCATCTCATCCCCAGGAACATTGAACTTGGCGTGGCGCTTGCTGTTGCGTAGAACTACCAGACCCCCCTCCCATCCCGTCTGCTCCAACCTGACCTCACCTTTCCTTTAAGACACCACTACCATGTGCATGATTGTCGAGGACGCATCCATCTATTCCTAGTGTAGCTGAAGGGACCGACAATGCTTACGGTGGTGCCCTAACAACGATGCCTGTACATCCTCCCGACCACGACAGTGATCCTTTGGGCTGAAATGCTCTGTAGCTCCGCATGTCTACGTTGAATGCTGGTAGCAGCTGTAGCGAAAGCGACATGATTTCAAATGACCAGGTAGCACGACATATACACGGGCATCAGTAGCCCATACTCTCTTTCCACTACACTACAGTGCGTATACTTCCCAGCCAGCTTATCTGCAAACAAGAAACCGAAGAAGACCCCAGACATGGCAGCAAAAGGCCTCGAAAGCGACGAAGCCCCCTGGCAGAAGATGGTCAAAGTCTTCGGGGCGAGGACCGCAAAGAACAATGCTGCTCACTTGCTCCCGCACCTCAAGTCAAACTTTCGAATTCTCGACGTCGGCTGCGGCATTGGTAGCATTACTATCGATCTCGCCAACCTTGTCCTGGACGGCGAGGTGGTAGGAATCGATACGAACGAATCTACCACACCGATGGCACAACAGATGGCGCAGGACAAGGGGGTCTCCAATGTCAAGTTCTCGTTCGGAGATGCACATGATCTATCTGCCTTTCCAGACGAGAGCTTCGACGTCGTGCATGCACATCAAGTAGCTTTGCACCTTCCCAACCCGGTCAAAGCACTCAAGGAGATGCGGCGGGTGTTGAAGACGGGTGGCGTGCTGTCGCTGCGAGATAATATCGATCTGATGCACTATCCACTCGACCCGTGGATCCAGAAGAACCAGGGTACATCCAATATCCATCCCATAAGTGCAAAGCAAGCTGACTCCTTCAGACTGGTTCCGCGACCTCAGCCGCAAAAGCGGTGCCAACCCCCAAGGCGGCTCCTACACCCATGACTGGACTCACCAAGCTGGTTTCCCCTGGGATAAGATCGATAGCGCCGTGGTCTCCTGGTCAGTCTCCACGTTAGAAGACCGACGTTTCTGGGCCAGTGGAGGCAAGAACGCTTTTCGAACGATGGGCCTGAAAGCTGGCTACGGTAACGAAAAAGACTACGATGAGATTGAACGGGCGTGGGAGGCTTGGGCAGAGAAAGATGAGGGAAGAATGGTGTGAATTGATGGGACGGTGGTTGCGTTCAAGTAGGTACGTATTTGTTAGAGCTTCGCTTTGCTGTCTTCTTTGAAAAGGGAGGCTTGTTCCATGACTGCGTCTCGGGCTTCGGTCTCTATTCGCTTGAGCAGCTCGTCGCAGGTCGGGATGTCGTGGATGAGGCCGATGCAGATGCCTGCGGTCCAGACACCGTAGTCCGGATCTCCGTTCAAAAACACCTGCAAACAGAAGAGCAAAAGGGTTAGCGAACGTCTCAGACATGGTAGGGTTTTGCTCATTAGTTTGGTACCTGTCTCCCTCGCTTCCCGCTCACGTAATCCGCAATCTCCTCAAACTTCCCCGACGTACTCTCCTTCTCCACCTTGGCAGCAGCTTGCGTGACCGTATTCCGAAAGAAACGAGCCGTGTTCGTCCATCTCCTCATGAGCAGATCGGTGTCGTCTTCAGTGGCGTTCACGATCGACTGCTTGATATTATGATGAATCGGCGCCTCGACGGTAGCCATAAATCTCGTCCCCATGTTGATCCCACAAGCTCCCAGACTGAGCGCAGCAGCCAGAGAACTCCCATTCGCCATTCCTCCAGAGGCAATGTAAGGGACTGGATCCCCGTTCGGTTTCCGCAGCTGCTCTTTTGCGCGGTTAAGCAGCACAAAGTTCGGGATGTCGTGCTCCCCTACGTGGCCTGCGCATTCAAAGCCGTCGATACTGATGAAGTCCACGCCCATCTTCACCGCGGAAAGGGAATGCCTGATGGTCGTGCACTTGTGCAGAACCGTGCAGCCCGCAGCTTTGAATTTAGCGACGTAGTCCTTGACCAGCCCGGCCGTCTCGACAATCTTGATACCTTCGTCGATGATCACCTGCGCGTACTCGCCGTACGGTGGTGGCGAGAGCGTGGGCAGTACTGTCAGGTTGACGCCAAAAGGCTTGGAAGTCATTCGCCTGGTCTTTTGGATTTCTTTGCGCAGGTCGGCGGGCGTTGGTTGGGTAAGGCTGGTCAAGATGCCTAGACCGCCGGCGTTGCTGACGGCGGAGGCCATTTCAGCGTAGCCAACCCATTGCATGCCGCCTTGGACTACCGGGACTGATCGAAGGGTAGAGTGTGAGCATCTGTTTCTTTGAAGTGATGGAGTCTGCTTACCTCGAATGCCCAGGGCTTTTGTGAGGGCTGTTTCGAACGGCATTTTGTAATTTTATAGGGTGGCCGTGATGTCTATATGATGTTTACGTTACTGCCGCCGCTCCAATATTGATACAATGATAGAGATACAGAAAGCGGTTGTTGTATGTCTGTTAACAAGGCAAGCAGTCAACGTGAGGTCGGGATGTTCGGTCTTGGACCTCGGCTGTCGGTGCGCAGAAGTCGTCAAACTGCATCTCCCAGGTCTCCTCACCAACCGCAACACAAATGTATGTTGATGGCAGTGTATCTACTGATGGTGACGGGTGTGCGTATGAGATGATACCAGACGAAAACTGCAACCACGCAGGACCCTAGGTCGTGCCCCGACAGCTCTCCAAGTCTGACTGCAAAGTAGATCCCGGCGACGGGAAAACCATAACACACTGTAAGGAATGAGTTCGTCCTCTTCAGCTTCGCAACGCATGCTTTTTACCGTGCTCCACGAGAGCTCCAACAAGAAGCTGGTTGATTTGTAATACACCCACCTCGAATGCGAGACTCAGAGTCGAGGCTATCATCCCGTCCCAGAAAGGCTATCAGACCGGCTGAAGACTAATGGATCTCATGCAACCCAAAGTCGAGTCAGTGTGTTGTATACACCAGGGTTCAGGAGATGCCCGGAGTAGCCGGAAAACGGACCAGGGGGTTGTGTTGAAGCACAAGGTTTCCACCACTGCAACTACCTGCACATGTAGAAGTCGTTCCGTGTCCGAGAGATAAGATATGAATCGTACTGCATGGAGACTCGGGACCACTTTGTCGATCGTCTTTAAGTCCACGTGGGTCGACGGAGTGATCTGGAAAGTCTCGAGTAAGTCTTGATCCAGGTGTGCGTCAAAGGCCGTAGCATCATCTTGCGAGGTGGATTGCCAAACAGAGCGCAAGAGCATCTTCTATAGCATCTTCTATATACAAAAAGTTCATACTGTACACATATCCAAGCCTCGTTACCGGTACTTGTTGTACCCCCCATCCTCCATCACCGGCTCCCGATCATTATCCGTGTGGAAGTAACTGACCTCGTAATCGTCCTGCCGAATAATGCCCTCCTGACTATCCCCATCACTCCGCAGCTTCTCCTCTGGCCTGTTCCTGCTAATCATCGCCGCACCGCTCACCCCTGGGCCTCCAAACGGCAAGGGCCGTATTTTACTCCCGTTGCTGTCCGTGGGCTGCGAGTCGTTGTTCGAGCGGAAAGTCCGTTTGCTCTTGAGATACTTCAAGGCGAAGCTGCGCCCGTTGCCAGAGCGGGCCTGGCTGTCGGTACTGGCGCCGAAGTTCGTTACCAAATCGCTCATGGCCTTCTTGAGGACGGGGGAAGCGGCGCCGATAAGGGCAAGGAGGATCTGGACTTGGTTGAAGCAGACAAACAGCCAGACTCCGATTGTGGGGTCTTCGGTGAGCTTTTGCTTGTTGATGGTCAGGAGGCGCAAGCCAGCCCATAGGGGGACGCTAGATCGCGCGTTAGAGGTCTCTTTCGCGCGCAATGCTGATTGGAGTAGACTCACCATGCCCGGACCAAGAATGGGATGTACCACGTCAACCTCTTCGCAATCGACGCCTTCGTGCGCCAGATAACCGTAGCAGCGAATACCACAATCGCAAGGTCGGTTATGGCGTCCCCGATGAAGATACCGACCCATCTTGACATGGTCCCCAAGCACATCCCTGCGTTATTCGCGTGTCCACCGTAGCTGGGACATGGGACTGCAAGGGCCACAATCGAGCCAATTGACCAAGCTATTGCGAGAGCGACCGAGCCGTACAGGCCGATCATTTGTTTACCGGCGATTTGTCGCAGAGACCCCAAGTTCTTGACTGTCAAGTTCGCGGTGAAACAAGCCGCGGAGCACTTAATGAGGCCGAGTGTGATAATGTAGAAGATGTTGCCAACTTTGTAGACCTGGGAGTGGGTTAGATACAAGCCTCTTCCCCATGGTACTAGGATGAGACATACTTCTTCAGCAGTGGAGAGATCACCGCGCGATATTACGCTGGATGACTTCCCCAGACCATAGTGTGCGCCGACTAATATGAGCACCGACTGGATGAAGCCGCAGATCTGAGGTTCAAGCGTCAGAAAAGGTGCAACTTCGGGAAATGATCGGGATGCTTATACCATAGAACAGCTGAAGAGACCGTCCGCCCATGTGTATCGCAGCCCCGAGGAGTAAGACAGGAGCTGCTGCCCAGCGCCCGCGACCACCCAGTACAGCAGAGAGAGCGTGGTGACTATGATGACCGGGCCAGCATGATCTGTGTCGCTCCATTTGGTGTAGGGAGGCTGGCTGGTGGTAGCCATGGCCGTCGGTGTCGTGTCGCGCGATATGCAACACTGAATACCACGCGGAGACCGGGTACGTAATAAGAATAAGGAGAATAAATCGTGGAGCGGGAGTCAGTTATTCAAATCTGCCTCGGGCTGTCCCTTTCATCCAAGACGCGGCGCCCGTCCAAGACGTGGTTGTTCGGGGCAAGCAGGCGTGTCCCTGAACCGGCTGAGGTGAAGAAGAGTCGCAACGCATAGAGTTTGAACCACCAGACTCCCACGACCACGGGAGAAGGCCCGCAAAGTCTGATATGCATTCTCCACCAGTCACCACCTCCATTTCGTGGCAGTCTCCGCAATGCCGAACAGAAATTGGCTTGAGCACGAATCTTGTTGAGACGAAAGGCTTCTGACTCGGCTGTTCCCCTGGGCCATTCTGAGTAGCGTGCCGGCTGATGGAGAGTTCCTGATCCAAAAGGACCCCAAGTGGGGATTTCGGCCATCATGTGCCGTAGGACGGGGTGTTGGAATTACATACTCGAAGTCCGCAAGGGGCTGCGAGGGAACTGCATGACCTGGTCGACCACGTGCGGGCAAGACATCTGCTCGTGCAAGGTCCCTCTCAGTATTCCCGAGCTGCCAGTCCAGATTCCCGCTTGCGACCATCTCGATTAACGAAGGTGCCGACGTTGAGGAACCGTCGCAGCGGCCAAGTGGCCCCAGAAGGGAAGGTTCGGCCAAGGCGAGTGGATTTCGCTGAGTGTCGCCAACAGATGGTGGTGACGGCAGCTGGGGCCCCGAGAGATGGTCTCGAGATGGTCTGAACTCTGCGACTTGCCGCTGAGCCAATGCCGAGCGAAGACTCTCGTCTCGCTTACGTCTAATTGGCGTCTAGGGCGTCAAAGTTGAAGGGTCTGGCGCGCTCTGATTCAACTTCCCTGCAAGCTTGTGGCCAGCAAATTCGTCTGAGCTTCTCGAATTCAGCAGATCGGCTGCACGGCATGCTTGGGGTGTTCGGCGGACTCGGTGGGTCTCCACGTGCGCGACGAGGGCCATGGAGCGAGGCTTTCTTCTATGCACGTTTTAACCCATATCTGTCCCGCTCCCGACAGCCACAAAGCACTTCCAGCTCTTTCCCTGAGTCTTCAGGCCTCGTCTGTCTTCAGTCCTTCTCTTGGTAACATCTTAGTTGCGTGTTATCCAGCGTTGTATCAGTCATTCGTTCACCATGGACGAGTACGACTCCAAGTACTCGCGCAACAATGTCGAGATGCGAGCCATCGACGACGAGATCCGCGACCTCGAGTTCGACCGTAATCCGAACGCGGCGACAAACAAGCAATGGGCGACACCGAACGATATCAAGGACATGGACGACCTCGGTCTGACACCGTAAGTTGCACTGTTGGATGGATGGGCCTGCGCGAGGATGTGTCCCATCAGCTTGAGTGGAGGTTGGAGACACCTACTAACCTTTCTACCCACACCAGAACATTCAAGAGACGTTTCAAGTTCGTTGCTATGGTTGGCTTTAGCAGTACTGTCGTGGTGGCCTGGCAGAACATGTTGGCGACCTTCTATTTCGCGCTATACAACGGAGGAACGGGAGGCCTGTTCTGGGGCTTCGTCTTTTCACTGTTCGCCATGACCTTCGTCTACCTCACCATTGCGGAGCTCTCTTCATCGTGAGTACACCAGAGCAGAAACGCCTCCCACGACATCCCCACTGACTCTCTGCAAGCTTCCCTACAGCCGGTGGACAATACCAATGGGTGTCCGAGTGTGCTCCCCAGAGCTGCAGCAAGCTTCTCGCGTATTGTACTGGCTGGCTCGTTACCCTCTCCTGGGTCACTTTCCTCGGAGCCTGCGCGGTGGCTATCGGCAACATCATCAAATACTGCATCCTGATCTACCACCCGAACTCCTCGGCTGCGAACAGCCAGTGGCTTCCCACCCTGTTTGCTCTGTGCTTCCTGATTGGCGGTGCCTTCTTCAACATCTACTTGGCCAAGCGGTTTCCTCTCATTGAGGGTATCATGCTGTGCATCCATTTGGCGGGCTGGGCGGCAGTCGTGGTCACCCTGTGGACCACAGCGCCTCGCGGAAACGCCCACGATGTCATCTTTGGATTCACCAACCCTGGTGGATGGGAGAACGCCGGCGTGGCATCGATCATCGGTGTGCTCACGCCTTTCAGCTCGCTTGTCGGATATGACAGTTCGGTGCACATGAGTACGTCCAGTCCACCATCGTTTCGTGGGGATCTCGCTCTAATACTAACCCAAACTAGCTGAGAACGCAAGAGATGCATCCCGCACCATTCCTCTGTCGCTGTTGACGGCATACGGTCTGAACTCGGCCATGGCCTTCATTGCCGCCATCACCATGGTCTTCTGCGTTGGAGACGTCAACGAAGTCCTCCTTGCGCCCTCGCCTTTCGTGGAGGTTTTCCTCAACGCCACTGGAAGCAGGGCCGGCACTGTCATTCTGATCGTGCCCATCATCCTGGGCTTCACTTCTGCTTTGATCAGTGAAGTCGCCACTGCAAGCCGTCAACTGTGGTCGTTCGCAAGAGACGGCGGGCTGCCGGGTGGTCACTGGCTCGAACCTGTAGGTTTCATCCACCACTATCCACATAATTCTATACTAATGTTACTGCTCAGGTACCTGATGCCGAAACCCCCCGTCGCGCCGTTTGGGTCACCGTCGCCATCTCCTTTGCCCTCTCCTGCATCAACTTCGGCCCCGTGGTCGGATTCAACGCCATCGTCTCCCTCGTCATCTGCGCCCTCGCCTTCTCCTACAGCATCACCATCAGCTGCGTCATCTACCGCCGCTACTTCGGCAAGCCCTTGCCTTCAGAGCGCTTCAACCTTGGCCGCGCTGGCGGCATCATCAACATCATCGCCCTCCTCTGCGTGCTCCCGATCACGATCTTGTCGGTCTTCCCGTCGGTGCCGAACCCGAGCCCTTCATTGATGAATTGGTCGTCCCTCGTCTTCGGGACTGTGACTATTGTGGCGGCGATCAACTACTTTGCCGGTGGGAGGAAGGGATTCAACCCGCCCATTCGCAAGCTGGACTAGAGTGGAACGTCTTTCGAGCGTACTGCTGCGAGGCGTCGGTGGGGCGGGTGTATATAGCTTACGGCCGGCCATATAGAGAAATCTCACGACGATTTAATCAAAGCTACATAAGACCGAGTATGGCATTCCGTTCACGTCCTGGACGTTCAGCAGAACCCATCTTGGCATGCAAGCTGCGACAAGTCTCTAATCACCGCTCTCTGAGGTGATCGCTGAGGCGACATTGCCACCCTCACATGAAGCAATTCCTTCCATGCTAAAACCTCCCTTTCTAGGACCACGGCCAGGGAGACAGTCAGTATTTGGAAAGGAAGATGAAGCCACGATTGCTTCCAATAGGACAAACATCCAAGGCCACACTGACCATCATAGCGAGAAGACTTGGCGTATTCGAGTACACTGCCTCCCCTACCCTATAACCACGTTTGGCAAAACTCTGAACGCATGGGCGGAGATGGACGGGACCAATAATCAAGCTCCAGCGGAACGTAGCATTTGCGCTTGCTCATGTCATTCCTCATTTTCAATCTCGTGCAAGGCTACATGACGTCTGAAGAAGGCAAGACACTACCGAACCTTATTTCCAGAATCACCACCACCTTTACCACCACCACCATCACTGCTGAAATCATTCGAGGCAGCTTGTCCGTGGAATAGCAGTTGGGTCGATATGCTTTTCGAGCACTACATAGTCTTTGCTAAAGCATAAGAGCACACATAAAGGTCCGCAGCACATGCATGGGTCTCCCAGCCCACCGCCATTAATGCAGCCGAACTCCAACCCTTTTCCCATTTTCAATGCCCCTATAGCAAGCCAACGACAGCCAGAACACCACCACCAATAGCCGCAGCAGCCATGAGAGGCGCACCAGTCGCCGCAGCCATGCCCTCAGACGATGAAGAAGCTTGCGCGGAAGGGTTCAAGCCAGTTTGCTGGGAGTTGCCGGTCTGAGTAACGCTGGAGAGGATATTGCCGACCTTCTTGGTCCGGCTGGCAAGCGCAGCGGATAGCGATGTTTTCGCATCACCTGTTCGCTACGTCAGCACTGTCTACTTCCCTTGCGCCGCAGCAGCGCATAGATGTTCTCCACCTACCAGTCGCAGTAGCAACTTGCTTGCTCAACGTCGCAATCGCCGTCTTCTGCACGCTCAGGACACTCGCCTCAGCGCTCGCGATCGTGCCCTGCAGCGCAGAGATCTCGCTCAAAGCGCTGTTCACAGCCGCACTGTTGACAGCGGCTTCGGACGCCGCTTCGCCCACCAAAGTCTGCGAGGCGCGCTGGTTCGAAATGCGCTGCGCCATTGAGGAGGCGGCGGCGGCGTTTGCGGCATTTGCGGCGCTGGCCATGGAGGCGGCTTGTTCGGTCGCGTCGACGGCGGTGGTTTGGGCTGTGGCCAGGGCGCTGAGGCCGGCAAGGGCAATGAGGGTGAACTTCATGTTTGTTGTTTGGAATGCGATGTAGCGAATGTGATGCTCGTGAGCAAGAAATGTGCTGGAATATGTGGAAGTGGTGAGAATGGAATTGCGCTGTGCTGTGTTGGTGGAGTAAGAAGAAAGAATAATGTGATATTGAAAGTGAGGTATTGGCAGGGGCCTTTGTCCTCGACGCGTGGAGCCAGGCTTTTTTGGGCTCACGCAGTGTGAGCGTGCGATTCGCTGTGGTATCGGCTGTGGCGCGGCTCCTCCACACGGGGAGGAGGCGAGATGCAGGTACGACACGAGGTTACATGCAGGTCCCACTGGCGGTTGGACGACGTATCGGTATCGCCACGTTGTGCTTGTCGACAACAACAGATGAACTCTCTCGCATTCACTTCAACATCTTTGTCACATGACTATTCACCAACTTGCACGCGCATCACGTGCAAGTGAATGCTAATGTCGTTCCGTCTTGATCGACGGCACTACGACCCCCTGCAGGGGCCACGGTAGGGTGCTTGGGTAATTTCCTGTCTCGTAACCGAAGGACTGTTCCCTCATTGATGCAAACTTCATGCCGTTGGGGAGGCTTCTCTTCTTGCGTTTGGTTTCTTGGGTCGGGTTTCTATGTCAATCTTCCATTTCATTCAGTAATTCAGTATCTTCCCACCCACAATGGGTAACAACTCTTCCAAGATCAAAGGGCCAAAGAGCGCGGCCGCAGCATCTACAGACAACCTGAATGGACTCATCGAGAACAAACGGTCGACTACACCTAGCCCAAGCGTGTCCGGCTCGAAGAAGATCTTGGTCTCCGAAGATGAAGTCGCCAACTATCAACGCGATCTTGCCGCCGCGCAGAAGGAGGCCACCACTGCCACAGAGGAAGCAGAGACACTACGCCAAAACCTCGAGGAACTAGAGACGAAGCACAAAGGTCTGCAGCGAGAGAAGGAGAACGAGGTCGCCGGGCTGCAAACGGAGTTGGCACGGGAGTTGGAAGGGCAGTTGAGAATCGCGGAGAGCTTGACCCAGGAGCGGAATAGAGAGCGGAAGAAGGCTGTGGGGTTGGAGGAGAAGTTGAGGGAGGTGGAGAAGGGGCATGCGGATGAAGTTGCGCTGATGAAGCAGGAGGGTGAAGAGAGGGTCAAGGTCCTGGAGAGCTCGCACCAGGAGCAAGAGAACGGGCATGCAGAGGAGGTCTCGCGGCTGACGAAGGAGGGCGAGGATCGTGTCAACACGCTGCAGACGTCGTACGACGAGAAGATCAAGGAACTCGATCAAACTCACGCCGACCTTCGCGCAGAGCACGAGCGCGAAGCGGCAGCACTTCGAGCAGACGTCGAAGCAGCAATAAAGGACGCAGAGACAGCGCAGACAGAGCTCTCAACCCTACAAAACAAGCTACAAGACCTCGAAATAACCACGCAGGCCCTCGAGCAAAGCCTCAGGTCAGCCGAACATACCGCCCAAACCGCCCAAGCCGCCCAACAGGACCTCACCACGCAACTCGACTCCACCAAGCAAGAACTCTCCACCTCCCAAGCAGCCCTCCAGACTCTGCAAACCGAGCATGACGCCCATCTCTCCTCAACCTCCACCCAACGCTCCGAGCTCGAGGCCGCCGCTAAACGCAACGAAACCCTCGCATCCGAACTCGCAGAAGCGCAGGCGAAACTTGCTTCCCAGAGCGAAGCGAAAGAAGGCTTAGAGATGCGGTATAATGAAAGTGTCTCGAAGAAGTCGTCACTGCACGAGGCGTTTGAGGCGTTGAAGATGGAGTTGAGGGAGAGCTATGAGCGGTATCAGAAAGTGCAGAAAGAGCGGGACGCGGATAAAGAGGAGATGAAGAAGCTGAGAAAGGAGAGGGACGATGCAGTCCGAAGGGCGGAGACGAGAAGTCCTGGTTTCGACGAGAAGAGGCCGGATGTCGGGGTCGAGGAGATCAAGGCTGGGACGGCGGTTGGGGTGGGAGCTTGAATTTTCGATTAAGTTTGTGATACCCTCTCCTTGTTTAGAGCTGTGTCGTTATAATGAGCGTTTGGCGTGCGACTTGTCAGGGATGAAAGGGGCTGGACTGGATAGCTCGTCGTCAGAAGCAAAGTGTTCAACCCCGGCACACCTCCTTGTATTCGTATCTTCAATAATGCGGCACATCCGCTACACAAACCTGCTGCGCCTGCCCGAACGTCTCCACGTGGCCCTTCCCAGCCTTCCAGTCCAACTTGATCATGTTCACCGTGTCGCGACTCTCATCACGATCGAAGAAATTTGAGGGGGTGATCTGCACCGCCGAATGCGGCGTCGTGAAGACGGTGTTCGGCAGATCACCAGTATGAGGTATATGGTGCATTCCGAGATTGAACCAGACTACGAGGTCTTCTTGCTGGAGACTTTCGCCGTCGAAGAAGTGGTCGAAGCCGACGAGGGGGTCGTACACGTTGTTGTAGTTCGAAGGGTTAGAGGAGCGAGGTTCGGTGTCTTTTTGTTTGGTCACCTGGAGGTCGTGGTATGCCCAATTGACAGCGTTGGCGAGGTTGCTCGAGTTGGAGGCGGAGAGGTGGATCGTGCCTTGCGAGGGCAAGATACGCTGGGGAGTAGAGAGGTCAGTGAGTTCTGATGCATGTGGAGGGACATGGGCATGTGACATACGTAGCCACGGTACTCGCCGTACTTATTCGGCTTGTCGGTATTGATGATGCGGTACTGGGTAGCACCATTTCCAGACCAATGAAGCCTACTATCGTCCTCCGATTCGATTTGGGAGCGGACAAGTTTCATGGTGTGGCGCGGCTGGTCAGACCAGACGTAGTTCTCTGTGGCAGGGGTGACTGTCACCAGCTCCATGGTATTGGCTGTATCGAGGATCTGTGAGCACCAAGAGCGGGTTAGAGGGCATCGTCCATGGCGTGAGAGGGGCCTTCGGACTTACGTCAAAGTCAGCCTTGCAGTTCAGGACATGATCGTGCATTGCGCCGGAGAGAGCGTCGTGGATTTGGTAGCCGTAGTCGCTGTTGTGAGCATAGTATGCAGCCTCGATGTCTGGTGCAGCTGTCAGCTGCTGTTGTTACCCGCCGCTTGAAGTTCTCTCGAAACCTACACCCAGCAGCTCGCACCACCACCTGAATGCTCCCGTCCATGTAGAACTCGTAGCTGAAGCTATAGTCGTAATTCCCAACGGTCGTAATGGTACGTACGACAAAATATATGTTCTTCGTGTTGGACTCTGTAGCATGCCTTTGTATCGAGTAGTCGGCGTCGTATTCGAAGAGACAGATGGCTAGATCGAACGTCATCATGTTAGCGACACGGTCAGTCACTTCAATGGCGGCTACCAAGAGGTCCACGAACCGTTCTTGACTTTCTCTTCCCAAGGACCGAGAACCGTAAGATTCAGATAGGAAGCATGTGTTGGGCAGTCAAAGCCAGGCATGAGCTCGTCTAGATTGCCCATCGAATATGCACTGTCCAGCTGTAGCGTTGAAAGAGTATGCTGTCAACTGCGGCACGAGTTGAGATAGATGCATAATGTCTTACGTAGGCTGTGCCAGAAGTGACGGCTGTAGGTCGTGTCAAAGCGAGATCGACGGAAGGAGTCAATCTTTAATTACGATCATTCCCGGCCTAGAGACAGGCGTACATTAGCATCGCTCTCAAGCTCGAAGAGAAAAGACCAAGCCACCTCAAGACTTACATAGTGCGCCAGTGCCTCCTGCATAGAAAGTTCATACAGAATACGTTCCCCCTTGAACCGAATGTCCCACAGACTCATGCCAACATCCTCTCGGAAGCCCATGTAGAATGAGAAGCCCATCCATTGCACATACTTCCGGTCATGGTCCACTGAGAACCTGGCCGACTTTGCAACAGGCATCGGTGGTGCTTCGGTATCCAACGGCAGTACAGGTCCCTTTTGATCGGTACGTGTCCATGGTCCGTCGATATTGGGAGGCAGCTTTTCGAATCTGGGCGAGGAGTATGCGTTTCGAAATTCTTCGGTTGTCGACTGCGAGAAGGAAAGGGGCCAGAGTAAGCAAATCTCCACCACGATTTCACCAATGACACTTACATAGAACTTGTTGTTGTATAGCCATCCTTCAAATTTCCAGCTCGACGGGTCGCTCTTGTACAAGTCAAAGCTGCATTTGAAGTAAAGCCCTCTCATATTATCAGCATCTTTTCGAACAATGGAGGCCGCCTTTTGTACAAACCCAATGGTAAGAGAGTGGATGAGGTACCAGTACCCCAAGCCCAGAACTGTGACCACTCCGTAATCTTCTCGTCGTACTGCCATAGCGGGTCTTGAGACAAGGGAAACCACTCGTCAGCCGTGAGGTTCCAGAGGTCTTTGGTGACATCCTTGACCGGATCGGTTATGTTGGCAATGAATTTGTCGTAGTCGTGCCATTTTGTTGCGCCTGCCAGACATCGAATCTTGCCGTCTTTGCTCGTGTATGGGTAGCTTAGGGGCTCCCAAGTGGTTGCATTCGTCACCGGGAGCGGCCCTACGCGTAAGTGTTCCTTCTGCGGCTGCTCGCTTTTCGAGTCGTACACCACCACGTTTGCATACCTGCTGGGCTCTTCGCCATCGTGGTCCAGATATTGCAGGATCTTGGCCGGCCATTAAATCAGCAAGCAGCATTGTAACACTGGGGCGAACAATGTATACATCAGTTTTGTTAGGCGTCAGAATCTGCATGTAGTCGATTTCGTAGCCTTTGAATTCGTTCCGGTTCTTAACCCACCTCCCAACCTGATGCTTCTCAATCCTGGTTAGATCTGCCCAGACATTCTTCTTGGGTGCCTTGATCTCCGGAGGTGGACGCGTAGTGCATCCCGCGCCAGGCAAGATCGTCTCCTGGATGGCGTTATAGCCATTGTAGAGCTCAGGTCCTCCGTTCTGGGAGTAACGGTATCGGTTGGGATGACTCCGTGCTCCGTGTGCTGCTTGGGAGAGTAGTAGAACTGCAATACACAATGACCAGAGTCCAGACGAAGACAGCATCCCGGCTGTATCCGGTTCTTAGCTTGGGTGATGCTTGATCATTACTGCGGGTAACTGGAGAACGCATACTTATTGAACGGATGAGGATTGCGGCAGCCTGATTCTACTCCAGTACACAGTCGTGTCTCGCAACAGAAAGCGAGGCGGGAGACCCATGTCAGCCATGATGGGCAACACCAGTACGTATGGTGCTGGGACGTTACACCCGTATAGGAGACGCCTTGCTGCAAAGGGTCGACGCATTGCTTTCATCGTGCGGCTGACAGTAATGGTAACAGTAGCCTCGGATTCGGTCCGCCTGAAGTCCTGAAGCGGTGCATTGTGCGGGACGGATACCACATCTCAGGCAACAGAGTAAATGCTGGACTTACTCGTCTTTGCTGGTTTGTCAGACAGACCGGTAAGAGGTTAATCTGGCAGTCTGCGCGAGGACGAGAGACGCGCTTACTGTCGATGACATCCTGCGGGCTACGACACCAGCTAGCAAGACGCCCAGCTGCAGTCTGGTTAGTAACGCGGCCGCGGTGGACGTGTCTCGCTTTTATCGTTGAAGATGATGCCTCAAAAGGTGAGATGGAACTCGGGGAGGTCTCTCCGCGCAGTCTAGTCTACTTCCGGCAGGTGGACAAGCCTTGCACGTGACAGGACTCCTGGAAGTTCACGGTCCGTGACGGACGATGTGAACAGCTGGAATGAGCATCGAACGCAGAACTCATTCAATCCAATCTAGCTGGACGATCAAATTATATTGTTGATGTGACCACAGCACTGCTATCTTGACCGCATGAACGACCACAATTGCTAAACCAATACGGATTATTTCCCAGCAATGTCAACCTTCAATAGCTTCTCAGCGTTCCCGTGACAAAACCCCTCAAACTGCTCCTTGTTGAATAGTCCAGATTTCTCGATCTCCTCGACAAACTGCAGGCCAGTCTCCGTCGACGAGAAAGGGTAATCAACGCTAAACATCACATGATCTGCCGACGACATCTTGAGCAAACACTCCAGTGGTGGGAGCGTGAACATGCCGCTTGACGTGACCCATATGTTCTCCCGCCAGACGGTGCGCAGGTCTCGCTCGAACTTGCCCCAGTTGCGGCTGCTGTGAATGATGCGGTCGAGCATGTAGGGCAGAAGTTCACCCATGTGACCGATGACCTGATCTTGTTAGCGAAGGCTGCAATGCGAACAGAGGACTATATCGACTCACAATCTTCAGCTTCGGATACTTGTCAAACAGACCACTGGCGAAGAGTCGAAGGATGTGCAGACCAGTCTCGCTGTGCCAGCCCCATCCCGCAGTACTCATCATGATCGCGGCGCCAGGCGAAAACGATCCTTTGTAATGACGTTCCATGTTCTCTGCCGGATATGTTGGATGGATGTATACTAAACAGAATTAGCAAGCTCTTTAGATGAGCGACGACATCTGTTCGCCTTACTCGGCACATCAAGCTCAACCGCCCGCTCGAATACAGGCCAGAACTTCTGATCATCATACATCGATCCATCCTCGGTATGGTTGTTCAGCAGCGCTCCCACGAACCGCAGCTCCCGAACCGTTCGCTCCAATTCCTTAACAGCAGCCTGCGGATCCTGCATCGGAAGTTGCGCGAAACCAGCAAATCGATCTGGGTACTGTCTGCATGCTGCAGCGAGACGGTCGTTGGATTCAACGCATTCTTTAACAGGAGTCCAGCATCCGATGTGGGAGAGTACTTGGAGTGAAGTCTTGCCTGCGTCGAGATTCTTGATCCTTCCCTCTCCAAGGTCGTGCAAGCGCTCGGTCAGATGAGATGGCAAGTTCTCGTGAAGAGCATCAGACGGGAAGAGGCTGGTGTCGAAGTGTTCTTCGAGAGCAATGAGAGGGGCCATCATGATGGATCGTCTTGGTTCAAGATATCTGATGTTGGCCTGGAGCTTTGGTGTTCCGACTCTCGAGGCTTTGGCAATGAACATGGCATTGCGTCCTTAATATATACGCAGCTGTCCATGTTCGTGTTGTTGGAGTCAAAACGCCGGACTTTTTCGGGTCGAATGGAAGTCAAACAGCTGCTTGGCGGAGTTTGTAGCTCTTGAACGCGTTTAAGACCGTTCTCCATCAATACTTCTCCCACTATCTTGAGCCTGTTACTCCTTTGACTGATTCTCGATACGAGCGAGTGGCTGTTGATGGATGGAAGAGTCAAGACTTTGCGCCAAAGAATTGGCAGGACGAAGCATTTTGTGCACGGACTATCCCTGGTCTAGGGGACTCGGGGAATGCGGCTTCCATCTTTACTCTACTCTCCTTTCTCCGACTCCCATACCTCAAGATACTGCCCGATGGCGCTGGTGACTTGATTCTCAAAGTCTTCGTGCTTGATCCCGAGCACCTCCTCCGTCTTACTGCTGTCCACCTTGCCTGGTAAGGTGGTACACGACCCGTTGTTCGGAAAGATGCCTCTGTCAACCGCTTTGGGGAACTTCTCCGCCACGATATCCTTTACATGATCCCACTGCAGATGTGCGGGATATGTACAGTTCAGTACGAAGCTCTGGTTTCCTGGCACTTTGCCGTCCAGCGAGCGAACATGCGCTTCGGCCACGTCGTCGACGTGAACTGAGCACATCACTCTGGGCATCGGGTCTTGCTTTCCCTGGGTGATATTGAGAACGATGTCGTTGGTACTGCTGGGATAATTCTCCAGACTGCCGCTCCGCGCGTCTCTACCCAGCACATAAGTCGGATGGATATGGATGACATCAAATTGCGGCTTCTCAGCAGCGATCCACTCCTCTGCACGCCGTAACGCTGCAATCTTGCTCGCCGCGTAGGCAAACATCGCGTTGTTCATGTACGGCGCTTGGATCTCTTCCGCCCGGTACTCAGGACCGAAGGCTTCGTCGTGCTGGGTACCCATGAGCAGCGAGGTTGGCACAGTCGCAATGACGGAAGATGTGATGACGACGCGCTTGACGGTCCCGGCTATGCGGGCGGCCTCGAGGACTTCTAGTGTGCATGCCACCGCAGGCTTGACGATGCTGTCCTCGAGCGTCTGACTGGGTTCGGGCTCTGCGGGTGGTGGCGAGGCGACGTGAACGATGTATGTCACATCGGCCATGACATTGTTGTACGCGCCGGCAGCGCCGAGATCTGGCACGATGGCGAAGCTCAGGTCGCGCTCAGTTGTTCCTCGAAGCACTGGCTCGTTGCGAATACTCTCTGCCTTTTTCGACGAGCGAACGACGGCGCGAACGGAGAAGCCATGGTCGAGGAGGGCATGCAGTGTGCGGAAACCAACGTAGCCACTCGCGCCGGTCAAGAGCACAAGTTTGGATGCCATTGCAGCGTGTTAGGGAGGAAACTCTGCTATGATGTGTCTCTCTCTGCCGACTAACATGGCAGATGAGCGAGTCTTTATACATCGGCGCTCCTCGGTGAACCAGCGCTTTCGCTCTCGCTTCAGCGTCGTACCTTAAGGGTGCCGACCGTTAACCCTGCTCTTTCCCTCTGGTGGATTGCTGCCAGCTACATGCCCTACTGCTGATCTGGAGCATGACCTTTGCTTTCTGCGGTTTTAGTCTACTGAGGTGTGGATCGAGCGACTGTAGCACACTGGCTCTTTCACCGATCTCCAGGGTGTCGGGTTCTACGTGCACATCCATGGAAGATCAAGAACTCAACTCAAGATCCATTCACCTTTTATCGTACAACACTGAGAGTGACTATGGCTCTATAACACTACGTTGATGTTTCCGTGCCAGCGCAGCCTCGCCACCGCCAGGCGTTCTCCACTGTACGATTTCAGCCGCAGCTTGGAATCCTTACCGGAGAACCACACACTTCCAGCTCAGGAATAACAGCAACACTTTATGCAGCAGAACCAAGATGGCAGAACCGCCCAGGCTTTGCCGGAGAAAAGGGTGGGCAAAGGCTATAAATTGAGTGTTCCCACATAGTCCCGTTTTACACTCGGCAGGAAGCCAGTCCACAGCACAACTCCAGCCTTCCTCCCCTTGCTCAAACACAGCCACGCACATTGGTCGTCACGGAGTTCCCGTCCATTGAAGACATGGACGGAGCGACGGCTTTGGCTTGCGCGGTTGAGCAAGCTTCAGCATCCGAAGAGCAGGCGGAGATTGTGAGATTGCTGCTGCAGCTTAGAGGACCGGTGGAGGAAGTGACATCTGAACTGCGCCATCTGGCCGACTCCCAGGGAATGATCAAAGTCCATGCCTTATGGGCGCATGACGAGCAACGGAAACTCATGACACTCTCGGCCGAGGGGCTGGAAGGTTGCCGTCAGGTTCTTTTAGAGTATAGCGCGAGGGAGTTGCGATTGATGCCACGGAACGTCAAAATAAGGAGTGATGATGAGGCCTTTCGGGCTAAGGATCCGAGAGGGAGGCCGTTGATGCCGCCGGAAGGGGAAGAGGTGCCGGAGGAGGAGAGAGCAAAACAGGTATTGATGAAGGGTTTCCATCCTGTCACAGGGGAGTTGGCTCCAACCACTTGATTGGTGATCGAAGAGATACAGACGCTGACTGCTGTATTTTGACTGAACACTCGCTCTGCCGGCATCGAATCTCAGCACCAACGTCAGTTGCTGTGTTGTTCTGCTCAACCTAGCAGCTCCATACAATACACCCCGACTACCCGTGCACAGCCGTCCTTCCAGCATGCATATTTCCAGCTGCGGCGCCAGAAGTCTAGGTGCCTTCCACATACTCCACCGACCTTTTCGTATCCTGGCACCCCATGATTATCCATGGCCTCTGCCTACGACGTCCAATTCCCATCCACCAAAGCCCCTTGCGCAACAAAGCCGTCCTGTGCCGCCGAGAACCACTGCCTACGCACAAACTGACTAATGTTAGACACGCCGCAATAGATGTTTCGATGGGGAAATGCAGTTGATCGTTGCAGGCCTGGCCAGGACACGGTGGCTATGAAAGGCATCGTGTTTCCTTGACCAGAAAGAAGACAACGGCGGCGCCAACCTCTTGCCGGCTGAAGGGCGGAAAGAGTGTACCAGTGAAGCGCCCAGGGAATCCTCTTGATCTCCGTGAAGGGTCACTCCGACGAAGAACCGATGGCCGCGTCCTCGGCATAACCATCGGCGGGAGTAAGATGTGTTCGAGTACGTCAATGGCTCCTCACGGCCGACGAGACGCAGCATCTGCTCCAGTCTGGCCACGGCGTCGCTTCATGAGTCCGGTCGCCAGTGCAGCCGCATACCCTGAAGACGTTGCGAGAGATTCCCGGCGCTGTGTGCTTTCATCTGCTCCAAAGTGAGGATGTTCGTCGCGCTGCTCTCTGCTGGACAAGATGGTCGCTTCGATATTTTGTTTCTTCGCCAGATCAGCAAGAGCTTTGACGAGGTGCTGCTCAACCACCGAACAGTCACCCAGCGGCGAAGTAACAGCAGAGGAAGCAGCTGATGTAGTCTCGCTAGTCCTACGGTATTTCCGGTCGAAGTAGTCCTGGAGAGGTGAATGTGGTAGTGGGATGGGACCAAAGTCGACGGACATTGTTGCTGATATTCGTTCAGACAATTGGACCGATAGACATAGTTGCCAAATGAAGGGATGCTGCGAGACATATGTCTTCACCAACCGCGTTGCGTGATTTGTGACTAGTGATGCAGGCCAAATGACGCCTTTGATCACGAGCTAAGGTGACATTTCGGACGCTGTGAAACCAAGCCAGCAGGTTCTCGCCTCCGGCCCTTGCTTGACCGCCAAAAGACGCCATGCGTTGTCGAAATGACTCAAGTGGGCGGATGGTTGAGCGACATCTGTTCCAAACCTTAGGTTGATGCACGGCAGATCACAGAAATGCAAGGGCGTGTCAATCATCTGCAGCGTAGATGGCGTGCTCAACGCTTGGCTCTGAGCGACATCAATCGATCAGATGACCTTCCGTTCTTCCGGAAGTGCTGCGACGAAGACATCGAGTGCCCTCAATTGTATACAAATCAGTCCGCTCTACAACCATAAGTACTCCAGGATCTTAACTTATGCCCATAAAACCACAACGCAACCGGACTCGGAATCGCCAACACCAGTGTCACCAACGCAAGCAAAGTGTTTCCCCAACCCACATCCAACGCTTTGTACAGACAAGGTGCCCACAGCGGAAATGCGAAACCGCACATCGTCCTCAGAAATGCCCCGACGGCAGCGGCAGAGGCGGCGTACTGGTGGGAGTAGGCGTCGACGATGAAGGCTTGAGAGCACTGGAAGGCGATGATGAGGCCGATGCAGGAGATCACTGTGCCGATATTGGGGACGATCCAGTGGAATTGGTGTTGTGCTGACCAGCCGTAGATGAGCAGGCCGATTGGAGTCAGGATGCCGCCGATGAGCATGGGCGGGACTCTCCTTTGGTTGCTGTCAGCCGCTGCGGCCGGACGGCATGGGATCTTAATGCAGACGTACCATTCTGCGACTCCTTCTTCCTGGTTGTAGTACACTTTGAGATAGGCGTAAAGCTGTAAAGATGGTCAACAGCTGCGTCTCGTCCAGGTGTGTGCTGACTCGGCCTTACCTTATCCATCAGCGGATGGCTTATCTGCAAACCAATGATGAAGCCCAATCCAAGCGACAAATAATTCAAGCTGGCCGTCGTCGTACTTTGCCCATAACTGTCTTCCCACACAGCCTGGAAAGTCGACAAAACCAAGTACATGATCCCGTACAAGAACGCTCGATAAATCGAAGGCGCCTGCACAGCGGGATGACAGAACATCATTTGGAACGGCAGGATGAGTCTCTTCCTCACGATCTTCGAGTACTTCTTCCCCGGCTCGTCGTAGACTGTGTATACCGTCTTCGTCGGATTGGCCAGTCTAATCGCCTTTGCCTTGTTGGCGAGGATCTTTGGGTGGTAGGTCTCGGAAAGAAAGAAGAGCGCTAGGAGTTGTACGAGTACGTCGAAGCAGGAGGTCGACCAGAAGATCCAGCGCCAGCTGACGTTCGCGCTGATGTAGGCGCCTACGATGGGAGCAACGGCTGGGCCGGTGAAGGTGAGTATGCCGTAGGCGGCTTGGCCTTTGCCTCGTTCGTCTTTTCGCCAGCAGTCGGCGAGGACGCCATTGCAGAGCTAAGTTATTCCGTCAGTGGCATACAACAGGACGCAAGAGGGAACCCACAGCTTGTGGTGCGCTACCCCCAATGCCGCTCAACAGTCGAAAGGCCAGCAGTTGGTTCTTCGTCTGTGCGAAGCCGCAGGCCGTATTGAAGACAAGGTAGGTCAAGTTCGCGTACTGAAGTACACAGACACGGCCAAATAGCTCGCTCAGAGGTGCCAGCACGAACGGGCCTTGTGCGTAGCCCAAGAGAAAGATGGTCATAACAAGCTGCCGCACGAGGCCTTCAGGAATGTCGAGGTCATTCCCAATAATATTTAGTGCGGGCGTGACCTGGTTGCAACCATCAGCAGGCAGTCAATCATGCTCCGTATCAAGGTTGCAACTCAACATAGTCGAAGAGAAAGGACTAATAAATGTAAAGCAAGAAACAATGATCGTCGCCGTCCATTTCCGCTTCCACCTCCCTGTCTCACCACATCAGCTCATGCCTAACCAAGCATGCCGATAACCACGGAAACGTACAGTTCAAAGGGTTTGTAGGATCATCCGGCCCCTCAAAATCAACAACAACGTAATCAACATCGACCTTCTGCTCATCATAGCTCGATGCCTCCTCCTCCGCAGAATCGTGGTCGCTGAGACGATCACCGGAGACATCCAGTATATCATCTAGGGTGGAAGCGTTAGGCCATGTTTCGAACCTGCTCAACTTGAGCAGTGGAAGTGTGCCACGACGTTCAAGGTCGATTGATGCATCTTCATCCCGTGCTGCTCGCTGGTAAGTCCGATGGAAGTGTAACTTGCTAACGAATTTGGACATGTTGGCCGTCTATGCTGTGCTTTGCTGTCGATCAGAAGGCAATGCCAGACTTATGAGGCCGCATGAGTACCCATGTCTTTCTTTGGAAGGAGGCTTTGCTTTCTTGCCAACGTGGGCCGTGAGAAGCCCCAAAGCCCAGATTGCTGCGCATGGTAACTCCCACTGCATGCCGCGCTGGATTCGAAGAGGTGCTGTCGAGCTTCCAAGGCGTTCCAAGCACCACAGCCATAGCTCGGGCTGTCTCCGTCGGCCAGCTACATGAATGCCGTGAAAGCACATGCAAGCACTGCCCGGTCCTAAAAGCGATTGAATCGTGTGTAATTGCTCATTCCCCGGATGCTGTCTTGGGCTGATCCACAGAGAATGAAAAGGAAGGCTGGAGCTGGAACTCTATCTCGCTGAAGGTGGCCTTGGAGTCCTGAGTCGTAGGGTTTATCGCATAGCCGAATCTGTTGCGCGCAGCATCTTTGGTAAGTTGTCGCGTGGTCATGAAACCCACTGCCAACATCTGAATAGCCCCATTGCCATTCCTAACTCTTCTGACACGAAGGTAAAGACTTTGGACAAGCGACTCGGCCCCATCCAAGTCACTTGGCGAGAGAGTGAGTAAAGTCGCAATGGAGGTCAGCTCATATCGTCACCGATGAGTGTCTTCCACAACAGTGGCAATCAAAATGTGCCACTCTCGATGTTGTTGCAATCGAAAACATCTTCACACGTTGTGATGAAGTGCTCTATCATCGACGCTCGTCCATAGCAGTACTCCCTTGGCAAGCCCTTGGATAGCGGAGACGCCCAGGTATGCCACGCCTACGACCAAGTCCGTCGATACAGCCTCTCCAGCTCCTCGTTCAATGCATCTCAAGCTGAAGACCACTATTTTCACCCTCACCGGCAATCCGTAGGTTCCACCTCCATCGTCCTGTACATTCTTGCCAGCGGGTGCAGCGACATGTGCTCGAGTCGATGGACGCAAATAGTCCAGATGGAAGGACTTGGTAGGATGGTGGGAGAGTACTTGAACGTGGTCGTGTGCCTGCGTTCCATGTCGTATGATCCGCATCGTATTCAAAAACCGGTATCTCGTACTTCACCTTCGCTCACATCCCACCTTCGTTCCTGAACTCATCATGAAGCACCAAACCATCCACCCCTTCTCTTTCACCGTCAAGCAGGACGGCGCAGAAGCACATGAAGAAGACGTATCTCTTTCCGCCCTTTTCCCCTCACCGGAAGAGCCGCTCCGCATCTTGATCGCACCATCCGGCTTCAAAGAGAGCCTCGGACCGGAGGAGGTGGCTGACTGCGTTGAAGAAGGCCTTCGTCGACTCGTTGACCATTCGGCAGCGATGATCCGCAAAGTACCGCTGCACGATGGTGGTGAGGGCTTCTGTCGAGCGGTTGTCGCTGTGCATGGAGGGGAGACTATCCCGGTCCAAGTTACAGGTCCTGTCGGCGAGCCTGTACAGTCGCACTATGGCATCATCAGAAAATCAGGGGTGGTTACTGGAGTCCTTGATATGGCTGCTGCGGCAGGCTTGCGCTTGGTACCGACCGATGCTCGAGATCCGACGAAGACCACCACTTACGGTGTTGGGGAGTTGATGGCCGCGGCGCTCGATCAAGGGTGCAGTAGGATCATTGTTGGCTATGGTGATTCGGGCACAAGTAAGTCTTTGCCATGAAAGAGCACACAGGCGATACTGACCGATCTAGGCGACGGCGGTGCCGGCCTACTGCAAGCTCTCGGCGTAAAGCTCCTTGACGCCGACGATAACGAGCTGCCAAAGGCACAGGGAGGAAGATCTCTGGTCGATGTCAGCAGCATTAGCTTGAAGACTCTTCACCCGAGACTTAGGGAGGGTAATGGTAAGCGGATCGATCTGTGTGAATTCAATACTTGCTAACCCTACCACAGTCCACATCGAAGCCGTGTGCAACGTCATAAACGTCCTCTGCGGCGAACGCGGCGTCGCACGCATCTACGGTCCACAAAAAGGCGCAACCCCGGAGCAAGTGGAGGGACTCTCCTTAGGCATGGAGAGATACGCAGAAGTCGTCAGCTCCATACTTGGCAGCAACATATCCACAGAACCAGGCAGTGGTGCTTCCGGAGGGCTCGGTGCAGGCTTGCTCCTGCTCGGGGGACAGCTACGGCCACGAAGCGAAGCCATCAATGATCATTTTGCTTTCGACAGCCTATTCGAACAGGAATGGGACGTCGTGATCACCGCCGAAGGCATGATTGATTCGCAGTCCACCCAAGGCAAGATGACCACGGAGATCGCCAGACGAGGCAAGAAGAACGGTGCTCTCGTCATCGCCCTGGCTGGTACCATCGGTTCCGGCGCAGACTCTTGTCTCGAATCGGGCATTGAGGCCTTCGCCAGTATACTGCAAGCGCCGACATCTCTGGCGGATGCGATCCAGGACTCGCCGAGACTGCTGCGCGAGGGAGCTGAAAGAGTTATGCGAATGATCATGGTCGGAATGCAGTTGCGAAGTCCCAGTCCCAGAGGTATGAGACAGCGACCTAGGTCCCCAAGCGGCAGGATGTCGTGGGCAGACGAGCAGATGGTTGGCGATGAGCTCCAGAAGAGGTTGGTGCCCATTGCTGTGCCTCCGTGGGTCCAAAGTCCTCGTCCGCTTTCTCCAGCACGAGTAGGAACGTTCTGATAAGATGACGACGGGCCTGCACTGCCCGATAGCGTACATATAGTTATGAGGTTAGCTGCTGAAGTTGGGTGAAATGGCTCAGGAGGCGATTGGGGCAAGGAGGTTCAGGATAGTGTCAGTTCAAGGTAATGGTCATTCCATGCTTGCCTCGAGACTTCTCTGTAATACTGAAGGTACCTTAAGTTGTAGCTTCACCCGTTCATCTCGTCACTTCATCGCCACTCATAGCTCATCCTTCCCATCACTCTGGCTCGGACCTCCAAAACCGAAAGCAGCCTTCACCATCCCGAAAGCAGCACCTTTGGAATCGTCAGTCCTGCAACAAGATGGTTTATGCAGGCTTCGGACCTTGAGGCGGGTACCTGAGATCCCGTCAGCACCAGATGGTCACATGTACCTTCAAGAGCACGGTTAAGACCTACTCTTTGCCCTCCTTCTCGACCTTGGGCTCGCACGTGCAGCGCTCGTTCTCCGGAATCGTGTCCATCACCATCGGCACATGCTGGCCGCAGCCCCACCAGGTGCTCTTGTCTAGGCGGGGAGTCAGCCTTGCGAGCCATCACGGTCGATGATCCTAGAGAGGCCTACTGCACGTTCCGCAGGTGGCTTTCTTGCACATTGTTGCTTCTTGTCGAGAGTTCTAGACGGTGTCAAGGTGTTTGAGGTTCGAAGACTGAAGTGCACTGTGTTCTTCGAGATGGCTTTTGTAGTCGTCTTTGTGTCACGACGTCGCCGAAGTGAAATCGAGTCCTTCCAGAAGAACGCAGAGAAGGTGTGGCTAGATCACTCCTTCTGCTCCAATCACATGCCAGCATCGTAAAACCGAGGATGTTGTCGACTTCGCCGCGAATAGCCGGTCAGTCAAACAACACCACCTCCTCTCTCCATCGAGAAGAGAAACAAAGCACAATGTAGCACACATCCCACAACATGCTGCGGCCCATACTACGCCGCTGCGGCGGCAGCACCACCACCACAGGAGCACACGTACCAACCCGGACCTACGCCTCCCACGCCCCCAAAGCGCGCCTGAACCTCCCAACCGACTACGGCAAAACGCCACTGCTACACCACACCTCCAAATCCGCCCTGGCCAACCCGGAACTCCCCTCCGCCGCCCGCAACGGCAACACCACCCGCCTCAACCTCTTCCAATCCATCAACCAAACCATGGCGCACGCCCTCCGGACAGACCCCAGCGTAATCCTCTTCGGCGAGGACGTAGCCTTCGGCGGCGTCTTCCGCTGCTCGATGAACTTGCAGACCGAGTTCGGCGACGACCGGGTCTTCAACACGCCGCTCTCCGAGCAAGGGATCGTTGGGTTCGCGGTGGGCGCGGCGTTGGAAGGGCTGAAGCCGCTGGCGGAGATCCAGTTCGCCGATTATGTGTTTCCGGCTTTCGATCAGATTGTTAACGAAGCGGCGAAGATTCGCTACCGCTATGGTGAGAATGCTGACGAGCATAATTGTGGGGGCATGGTGATTCGGATGCCGACGGGTGGCGTGGGGCATGGGGCGTTGTATCACACGCAGTCGCCGGAGTCGTTGTTCTCGCATGTGCCTGGACTGCGGGTTGTTTCGCCTCGCTCGCCGTCGCAGGCGAAGGGGCTGCTGCTGGCGTCGCTGGAGTGTCCGGATCCGGTTATCTTTCTGGAGCCGAAGATTTTGTATCGGGCGGCTGTTGAGCATGTTCCTGCGGAGCCGTATACGCTTCCGCTTAGCAAGGCGGAGGTGCTGAAGGAAGGAAAGGACATTACGATTGTTTCTTATGGCACGCCGCTGTATACGTGCCAGAATGCTCTGACTGCGGCAGAGAACGACTTTGGGTGTTCTATCGAGCTCATCGATATGCGGACGATCTTCCCTTGGGACAGGCCTGCTGTTCTGGATTCAGTACGGAAGACGGGTCGATGCATCGTTGTGCACGAGAGTATGGTGAATGCGGGTGTGGGAGCAGAAGTGGCTTCTACGGTGCAGGAGCACTGCTTTTTACGGCTGGAGGCACCAGTCCAACGAGTTGCTGGACTGACAAGTCATACTGGGTTGGTGTATGAGCGGTTCAATATTCCGGATGTTGTGAGGATTTACGATTCCATAAAACACGTATTAGAGTACTGAATCGTCAGCAGCCGTTCACGTAAATCCTTCTCAGTACTTCGGCAAGGTGTTGTACAATGCAACAACCACGAGCTATAGTAAAAATGTGGTTGTGCCACCACTTCGTACACTTCTGGCTATTTCCCACCCCTCATTTACACATATATACACAGAACTCCTCTGCATCCTCCCCACACCCTGTCCTGGCCTCCCCTACACTCCCACGCCTCACGACTTCCCCTCCGGATGCTTCTCCTGACTCTTCCCCGCCGTCTGCTTCTGCAACTCCTCCATATGCTGATCGTGATCCTTCACATTCTCCCTATCAGCCCCGACCGCCTCCTCGCCGCTCGAAGCAGTGTGTCTGCTGCCCTCGGGCTTGTTCATGGACTTTTGCTTGGCTTTCTCGATTTCTTCGGGGCTGCGCTCGGCGTCTTCTTTGATGCGGAGGGGGCGGAGTGTTGTAAATGTTCGAATTGGACGGAGAGTGAAGAGGGGTTGACGTAGGGCGAGGGGGCGGAACAGAGGAGGCATGGTTGGACTTGGAGCTGGAGGTGGTGTTAGTTTGGTTGTTGCTCGTGATTGTCAATGTGGAGCGGATGCTTACGCGGTATCCCTGATTGCCTCGAGCTGCAGCTATCCACACTCAACTGGATCTGTAGAGCAACCTGTTATGCTATTAGCACAACTAGAAGTTGGAGCAACATCAACATTGGATGAAGCCGAGCTCTCCAAAACAATGAGGTCAGCGATCGTCATCGGCCTAACCACATTCGGGATGCATTCACTTCAAAGTTCTCGTCATATTCTCAAACCTCCCGTCCTCTAACAACTCCCACCGCCTAGGAAGAGGATACGTCTAGGTTGGAGCGACGCTTCGCTCTACACGTCGCTCTCAGGATTTAACATAAAGGTCGCAAGACAAAGTAAAAAGGTCAAGAGCTGTCGCAGCACTGCTTCCTTGGAAGTCGCAGATGAACGAAGACGAACGTCATGCTGCTCTCCTCTTCTGTAGCTATATACACACCATGATATATCTACTTTGGTAAGGCGATTCTCCTATCATCAGAGGTTACTCTTCCATTCTCCATTTCAACCCAAAAAGACAAACCACCCCTTCCAGCACACTCCAAGCTTCAACATCCTCATCATGACCAAAACAGCCCTCCTCATAATCGACATGCAAAACTTCTTCGCCCCCATGGCCACCTCCGCCCTCCCAAACATTCAAAAACTGCATTCCTTCTTCTCCACCTCCAACCGCCCCATCCTCTTCACCCAACACGGCCACCCAGAATCCGACCTCAAACCCCCCTACAAGAACCAACTGGTCCGCCGCTGGGGCCCCTCGGGCTCCATCCACCGTGGCAGCAAAGAAGGCGACTTTATGCCCGGTATCCGCGAACTCGTCCACGACTCTGCCGAAATCGTGCAGAAGAACACTTACGACGCTTTCATCAACACGGACCTAGCGGAGCGTCTGGAGAAGAAGGGCGTCGAGCGGCTAGTGGTTTGTGGTGTTATGACGGATTGCTGCTGCGATACGACGGCCAGGAGTGCTTTCAATCGTGGGTTCGAGACGTGGTTGGTTAGTGATGCGTGTGGGAGTGCGGATGGGGAGCAGCATGAGGCGGGGTTGAGGGGGTTTGGGTTTGCTTGTGGGGGGGTTATGACGGCGGGGGAGGTGGTGAAGGCGTTGGGGAAGGAGGGAGCGTGATGATATGGGTAGTTTGGAGGAGGACGTGAGAGACGAGGGCTGAGTGCCACAAGAGGGACTGGCACTCAGATGCCAGAGGTGGTCTTCTCCGGCCAATAAACGACTTGACCCTTCCGTTCAACGACCAGCATTGCCATGTCTTGCAACTTCAGTGTCTTACAACTTCCAGTCAGAGTGGTCTGGATCCACCGGGTCTGCCATTGCTTTGGCATGTGTTCGAGCACAGCGGCGTTGTCTCCATCCGCATGGCCATGGGGTATAGAGTTTTCTCCCCGGCGCGTTGTGGCAACCTTTCGCCGGACTCTAGCCCTGCGGCGAAGGACGAAAAGCCAGATCTATTGCGTTCCTGGACGGGGCCGAGGGCTGCTTGTGTAGATTTGCGTGTGTTCCAGTCTCAATGCGCGTATTGATTCTGCCACCAAAGAATTGCGTTCGGTGTGTTTTGTTGTGTAGATGTCGAAGGAGATGTCGTTGAAGCTCGACCCTTGAACAGCAGCGGTTCTCGCGCCACTCATCACAGGAAGGCGCTTGAGCCAAGTCCGGGCAGGTCGACCAGTAGAACCAGACCGCGCGCTAACGACCTCCTTCGTCATTCACGGGCACTGCTTGCCTCTGCCACGACCCTTACACACACCACGCACCACGATATGACCGCCTGTGGACTTCCGAACCGAGCATTGTTATAGCGGAACGACCGCGGCCTGCACGTTCAATGAATGTGAAACCGGATCGGCTTCGGCGTGTGTGACCGCGAGCACGAGGGCCTGCGGGCCGGCTAAAGGGCTAGAGAAGGTGCAGAACAGGGCAGGAGACTGGGTGCGGAAGGGTAGTGGGGACGGCGTTGTCTCTGCGAGAGGTTTGGTCCAATATGCAGGTGAGTTGAGACATTCCCACCTCTTGCTTCCAACCATTGAAGAGGGGGGCTGCAAGACACCGCACGTGCACTCCAGAAGTAGGAGCGCTGTTCGGGAAAGCAAGTAAGACCTAGTTGACACTCCTCCCCTAATACAGCCCTCCGCGCGACAGCAGGAGCTCGAGCGCCTGTACAACGCACGAAGGGGGCATGCGCCCCAGATCAGCATATCCGACGACAGCCACCACATCACCGAAGCGATCGGCAGCTACTACGACCACGATGAACCCCTCTCCCCTCCAGCAAACGGCAACCCGCGCCCCTACAGCTTCGTAAGCTCGCCGGCGGATCAGATAGACGCCAGGGCTTCTAAGACGAGCAGGCGCAACGGGAGCTACTTTGACATGAACCGCGCGAGTCCGCCGCGGGTGCCGTTGGGGAGGAAGGAGTCGAACGAGCAGACTCCGGTGGAGAGGGATGGTGGGAGCATCAGTCCGAAGGGAGCGAAGAGGATGAGCAGTCGGGGGTCGGAGAATGGGAGTCCCAATGGGAACGGGTCGCCTGGGAGTCCACCGAGATTGAGTCGGCAGTCGAGCACGGATGCGACGATGCAGTCGTTTCCGCTGAACGACATCGACTATGAGTCCAGCCCGGCGGCTGTCGCGCAGGAGTTGAGCAATCTGCAGGCGATCCGGCGCATGTCTATGAATGTGGACGCTTCCGATCCGGACTTGCCTTCGTTTGGCGGCGTTGTGCCTACGGTGGCCCCGAGCAATACGGAGGATGATGATGACACATCGCGATTGTTCTGGGTGCCTGCGCGGCTACATCCTGAGCTCGCGCCGAAGGAATTCAAGACGTTCATTGAGGACAAGGTGGACCGAATACGAAGGAGGTCAGGCGATTCGGACACGCTGTCCGTGGACGGCTTGGAGCGGCAAGGCTCGGGTAGCAGTCTGCGGAGGAAGAAGAGCATGCTGTCGCACCAGATAGACACGAAGGGGGACTACCAAGACGGCGCAGACAGACTGGAGCGGAAGAGGTCAAAACGAATGTCAGTAGAAGGGCAGGCGCCGGTCGAGCTGTCAGAGTTGGAGCACATGGTCAGTGATCCGGCGCAGTTGATCCGACGAATGAGTCTGGACACTGTGAGAAGATCGCAGGATTCGGGAGTGGAGGTTCCGGCCAGCGAGGACATGCCGATGCTACCCCCGGTCGGGCAGTCGTTGAAGCGGTCAACACGCACGACGTACAGGAGAGGCAGTCTGAAGAAGGGCGAGCGGGTGCCGTTTTCGAGACGTGCGGCACACCGACATTCTGAACCAGAGTCAGACGACTCGTCTACGCAGCCTACGACAGTTGCTGGTGCGGACGAGCCAATAATGGGTTTGACCAGAGTGCAGACGGAACCTACACCACCACCTGAGCGTGGGGCGAGGGACACTTTCCCTTCCAGGACAGAGGCAAGCCTGCGGTGGCGGGAACAGCACCAGGGAGCTGCGCAGACTACAGACGACATCTCGACTCGCTCGACACCTGAAGAAAGACCTAGCGCCAGACCTCCTGCTCCGCCACCTGAAAAGACTGAGCAACAACCGCCTCGTCCACAGCACAAGCAGTTTCAATCTCGACTTGCCTCTGGACCTGGCCGGACAACTGCTCAATTACCCGGATACACGAACACCAATCCTTTACCGAATATCATCGAGACCTTGCCGGATGGCACGAAAGTGCCTGTTGCTGGACTCGTACAGCAAACACCGGAGCGCAAGTCTTCTCACGAGCTGATTCGACCATTCCAACGTGGTGGAGCGCACATGCGACCTGTGCCTGGGAGAGAACATCATAGGTCATCCACCCTGGACGATATTTCTGGCCATCCTTCACCGCTTCCTGGCAGCGGCACCACCAGGACAGATGACCTCACGATGGTACCAACGTTCGAGGACCGGAAAGCGGAGAAGAAGGATGGCTCGCGGAAAAGCAGCTGGAAGTGGATCCTCGGGAATGACGAAGAGAAAGAGAGAGCGAAGGAGGAGAAGCAGGCTTCGGACACGGCCAGCATCAAATCTTCGAAGAGTAGCAAGCTCTCCAAGCCTTCTGGCGACAAGGCGAGATTGGATGTCTTACAAAACTCCATCGAGGGCAACGTGCCTCCGCGAGGTCGCGAGAGCATAGTGCTCAACCGCGAAGACCTCAGGCTGGACGAAGAGCGGAAGAAGGAGAGCAAAAAGATTTCCGAGTCCAAGAAGGACAGGGACAAGGAGTCTAGAGATTCGGGTCTCCTCTCTGCCATCTTTGGCGGCGGCAAGAAGAAGACTTCCGACGGCGACTTGAAGCAGAAACACCGCAAATCCGACCGCAACAGCTCTCCGGATCCTATCATTCGGATCCTCAAACCGGACATCGACTACAACTGGACTCGCTTCAGTATCCTGGAAGAGAGGGCCATATATCGCATGGCGCATATCAAGCTCGCTAACCCCCGGCGCGCGCTGTACAGTCAGGTGCTGCTGAGCAATTTTATGTACTCGTACTTGGCGAAGGTGCAGATGATGCATCCGCAGGTGCAGATCCCGCCGGCGCATCAGCAGAAGCAGAGGCGGCAACAACAGCAGCAGCAGGAAGAGCAGCAGCAGCAGCAAAACCAGCCGGTGGAGTATAGTCAGTACCAGCGGTGGCAGCAGGTGAGTGAATAGTAGTAGGGTCAACGTGGTGTAGCGCGCGATGTCTGACGGATGGCAAACAGCAACAGGAGCGTGAGGCAGCCGCGAATAGTAATAACAACCCTCAGCACCAACAGCAGCAGCAACAGCACGCTCCCAACCAAAAACGCACGAGCCTCGACATCGCCACCGGCGCCGGCGCGCCGCAACACCATTCCCAGCACCAACAGTACCAGCAGCACCAGCAGCACCAGCAGCGCACAAGCTACGACCCAGACTCCGACTCCTCCGCGGGCTACGACCCGCGCAGCTCGGAAGAATACGAGTACGACCAGCATCAACATCAGCAACAACAGCAACAGCAACACCATCCCTCATACCAGCCACATCAGCCGCCGAGCCGCAACGGGGTCGGGACAGCGCGGGGTAGTGGTGGTGGAGGAGGGGGGTATAGTGTAGCGGGCACGCACGATTATCTTGGGTATCCGAAGGAGCAGCAGGGGTTTGGCGGGGGGGAGAGGGGGTTGTGGGATGATGATGATGAGGGGAGGGGGGGGAGGGAGGAGCTGTGGTGATGTCGTCGTGAGGATGCCATGCGTGGAGGGTTTTGGGTGCGTGGTCATTTTAGTGTAACATATGAGCGTTGTTGTCACTGAGGAGGGGTGAGGTTATTACTATCACTGTTGTTGAGGGAATGTGGAAGCAGGGTGATGACCTGTTTGTTTTTGGCACCGCCGTCTTGTTCGACTTCGATTGTATATTTGGTGTTGGTCGTAAAGTCGCCTGGTGGTGGTGGGAGGCTGAGCGTGTGATTCGTCATGAGATACGCCACCAGGTCGCCGCAAGTCGAGCTTGACCTTCAACTGTGAAAGAGCACTACTTACATCTCTTCTTCATGTCTTGTCTTCTTCTTCTTCCACCACACTTTTGACATCTGGATAAGCGCTGGTCAAGATGTTTCGCGCACAGAACAACCAGCTAGACAATGCCGTGGGTAAGTAGACCACCCTCAGCATCACCGCAACCCACCCCAAGGCTCCAACAACTGACAGAGATGTGTGTGCACAGCCAAAGCGACCGACGAAAACCTCACCACCGAACCATGGGGCCTCATCCTCGACGTCTGCGACCAAGTCTCCGCCTCCCCCTCGGGGCCCCAACAAGTCGTTGCCGCCCTGATCAAACGCCTTGCCCACCGCAACGCCAACGTCCAACTCTACACCCTCGAGCTCGCCAACGCTCTCTCGCAGAACTGCGGCGCGGAGCTGCATCGCGAGTTGGCGTCGAAAGCCTTCACGGATGCGCTGTTGAGGTTGGCCGGGGACCGGAACACGCATGCGCAGGTTAAACAGAAAGTGCTTGAGCGCATGGGCGCGTGGACGGAGCAGTTCGGGAGAAATCCAGAGCTGGGGATTATGGAGCAAGGGTACGGGAAGTTACGGCAGCAGCAGCCCGGACTGATGCCGCCGGGGAAGCCGGTGAAGAAGGAGATTTCGGCGGATGAGAGAAGGAAGGAGGAGGAGGAGTTGCAGAAGGCGTTGGCGTTGAGTGTGCAGGATAGTAAAGGGGCGGGAGGGAGTCAGCAGCAGGTGAATGGGGGGAAGGAGGAGGATGGAGGGGTGGGGATGGGTGAGGGGCAGGGTGGAGCACAGCAGCAGCAGCAGACGCAGCAGGGGACGACGGCCGCGACGGTGAGTCGGGTGCGGGCGCTGTATGATTTCACGCCGTCCGAGGCGGGGGAGCTGGCGTTCAGAAAGGGGGATGTGATTGCCGTTTTGGAGTCTGTCTACAAAGATTGGTGGAAGGGGAGTCTGCGAGGGAGCACGGGGATTTTCCCGCTTAATTACGTGGAGAAGCTGCAGGACCCGACGAAAGAGGAGTTGGAGCGGGAAGCGCATATGGAGGGTGAAGTGTTTGGGGAGATCAAGAATGTGGAGAAGTTGTTGAGTTTGTTGAGTGTGAGGAGTGAAGGCGGGGGCGCGAGGAGGGGGGAGAGGGAGGAGGAGGAGATTAATGAGTTGTATCAGCGGACGTTGAATATTCGGCCGAAGTTGATTGAGTTGATTGGGAAGTATTCGCAGAAGAAGGGTGTGTCGATCATGATTGCAAAAGGGGATGAGAAGGTGTACTGACGATATCTCCAGACGACTTCACATCATTGAACGAAAAGTTCATCAAGGCTCGACGGGACTACGAAGCACTACTGGAATCCTCCATGTCACAGCCGCAATACCAACAGCAATACCCCGTCCGCCAGCGACCTTCCAACCAACAAATGTACCCTCCCCAACAACAACCCAGCTACCCACCTCAAGCCCCACCCTCCGCACAAGGCTACTCCCCACAAGCCCCTCCGTCATCCGCAGGCTACCCGCCGCAACAACCCTACGCCGCGCAAAGCCAACCCCACCTCCCGCCCCAACCGGACGTCCAACGCTTCTACTCCCCCGCTCCTTCGGAACCTCCGTCAAACCAACAACAGCAACCGGGCTACGGAAGCCCTTACCCCCAACAACACGCTCCCGTGCAGCCCTCGAACGGGCCCGCGCCCTTCCACTTCATCCCCGGCGGCCTCCAACAAGCCGCCCCTCCTACCCAACAACAACAACCACAACCCGCGGAGCACCAAATCCGCCGCAAGCCTTCCCCCCAAGCTCCAATCTCCGCCGGCCCCAGGCCCGCGCCCAGCGACCCTTACGCCACGCCTACACCACATCCTGCAGGTCCCGGTCAGCAGTTTGCGGGGCAAGTGAGGCCTAACAGCATCCACACGCTCAATAGCGGGAACCCGCAGGAGCTCGCGACGGGGGGATACGAGAGTCCGGTGGATGGGCGGCATTCGTATCCTTCTTCGCAGCATCAGCAGGGCATGGGGATGGGGGGGTTTGGCCAGGTGCCGGGGCCGTACGAGACGTACCCGCCTCAGCAACAGCAGCAATCCTACCCGCCCCAGCAGGCGGGGTATCAACAGCAGCGGAGCGATAGGGATGGTCTGCCCTCTGCGAGGCAGAGGACGGAGAGTTTTGAGTCGCCGAGTAGTGTTTACTCTGGGCAGCAAGGACAGGGATGGGGCGAGCAGACTGGAGGGATGCCGCAGCAGCAGCAGCAGGCGTATCAGGCGTATCAACCGCAGCCCCCGCAGGTACAGCAGGTGGAGGGGCAGAGGTTGCCTAGTGGTGGTAGTCAGGGCGGAGATCCGGGGGATTTTTATCGGTAGGGGATGCGTTTGTACGTGTGTGTGTAGAGAAGTAGCAGTTTAGTAGGAGATTCGTGTATCCATAGCACAGTGACCGCATTCATTGCGGAAAAGTCTCCCAACTCACAGGTCCAATGCCCTCCCACCCCATTTTGGCAAGCGTAAAAGGCAGTCCAACGCGGAAACGGAGGCGGTGCTCATGATGATGTGCAGATTCTTGAGTCGTCATGCCTACGTAAAAAAGTCTCCACCCATTCTATACACCTGCTCGAGCTCGACATCTATTCACACTTGAAGCT